ATACCCTCAGACCTTACTGTATAGGAATCTTCTTGTACATTTTATGAATCACTGCGTATCTGTCTAGATAGAGAAAGTGTTGATGAACTCAAAAGCATAATTTGGTTGAAAATCAGTTTACAACAGGTAAATTTGTTTTTCTGCTACTGAAGATGAAGCTTTTGCTTAAAATATTATTTTAATTAAACAGTGAATTGCAGCATGTCAATGGGTAACTATTCAGTTTATATAGTCCATAAGTCTAAAAAATAAAAGCAAAACAGCACCATCTGTCATGATACATCCAGGAAAATTGATTATTTTTGTAGGTATATGAAATGGATATACATTTAGCTTTGTCTTTATATGTGTTTATGATTAAACATTTAGTGTTTTTAAAAAAGAAAAAATGTTATTTGGAAAAAATACATGATATAAAAACTTATTTCTTATAGTACCAAACTTAAAATAAATGAACTTAACAAAATGTGCCAAAGTAATATGAAGGAAACTAGTCTGAAGAGAGTAAGATTTGAGGGAGGCTCTAGTCAGAATGGCAATTATAAAGTATACAAATAATAACCAATGTTGGTGAGGATGTGGGGGAAAAGATATATTTATGCATTGTTAGTGGGACTGAAAATTAGTGCAAACATGCTGGAAAGCAGTATGGAGATTCCTCAAAAAACTAGGGGTGGAACTACCATAAGATCCAGCTATCCTACTACTCAGTATTTATCCAAAAGGACTAAAATCAGCTTAATACAGTGAAACAGCCACATCAATGTTTATAGCAGCACAATTCACAGTAGCCAAACTAGGGAACCAACCTAGGTGCCCTTTGATGGGAAATGACATCTATTACCTATTAATGAGTGAAGGGAAGCATGTTTATAGATGCCTATTAGATGAATGGCTAAAGAAAATATGGTACATATACACAATGGAGTATTACTCAGCCATAAAGAAGAATGAGATTATGGCATTTGTTGGAAAATGGATGGAACTGGACACTATCATACTAAGTGAACTAAGCCAGACTCAGAAAGTCAAAGGTTGAATGTTTTCTTTGATATATGGAAGCTAATCCAAAATAAAGGGAAGAAAGAGAGAGAGATAAAGGGGGGATTCCATAAAAATAGAAGAAAGATCAATGGACTAGATGAAGAGGATTGAGGGGGAGGGAGAAGGGACAGGATAAGGGAGGTATAGTGGAATGTATCTAGGGTAACTTTTCTAAGTACATATATGAATGTACCACAGTGAATCTCACCATCATGTATATCCAAAGCACTAAACAACAATGATAACAAAAAACTAAAATAGCAGAAGTATCAGTAAAGTAGAGTAAGGGAACAGGAAGAGGGAGGAAGGGAGGGAAAGGGGAAGTACTGGTATGATTGAGAGCAAATTATATCTCATGCCTCTAAAGTTATGTCAGAATGAACCCCAGTGTTATGTATAACTAAATAAAACCCACAAAGGAGAAGGAGAAGGAGAAGGAGAGGAGAGAAGGAGAGAAGGAGAAGGAATATTTGCGTAAGGGAGGGGTTGCCCATGCTTCCACATGGGGTACTGCAGGTTTGTAAGCATGTTTGTTCTTCCTGTGCTAATGTATAGTTGTAAAGCAATAACATAAAAATATCCAAAGGTAAGTTTAACAGGCTAATTGAAAAATACTGTATTAATGCTCTTGAATAGGCAAAATATTAATATTGTCAAAATGGCCATACTACCAAAAGCACTATGCAAAATCAGTATGATTCCAATTAAAATCCCAATGTCATTATAAAAATAGAAAAAGCAATCATGAAATTCATTTGGAAAAATAAGAGACCCAGAATAGCCAAAGCAATCCTTAGCAAGAAGAGTGAACAGGAAGCATCACAATACTAGACCTTAAACTATACTACACACAAAGCTATAGTAACAAAAATGACATGGTATTGGCACCAAAATAGACATGTAGACCAATGGTACAGAATAGAAGACACAGAGACAAACCCACATAAATACAGTTGTCTCATACTAGACAAAGGTGCCAAAAACATACATTGGAGAAAAGATAGCCTCTTCAACAAATGTTGCTTGGACAAGTGGAAATCCATATGCAGTGAAATGAAAATAAACCCCTATCTCTCACCATGCATAAACTCGACTCAAAGTGGATCAAGGACCTAGGAATTAGACCAGAGACCCTGTACCTAATACAGGAGAAATTGGGCCCCAATTTTTTTTTAAAGAGAGAGTGAGAGAGAATTTTAATATTTATTTTTAGTATTTGGCAGACATAACATCTTTGTTTGTATGTGGTGCTGAGGATAGAACCCGGGCTGCACGCATGCCAGGCGAGCGCGCTACCGCTTGAGCCACATCCCCAGCCCTGGGCCCAAATTTTTGTCACATTGGATTAGGCCCCGACTTCCTTAATAAGACTCTTAAAGTGCAAGAAATAAAATCAAGAATTAATAAATGGGATGGACTCAAACTAAAAAGCTTATTCTCAGCAAAAGAAACAATCAATAAGGTAAAGAGAGAGCCTACATTTTGGGAGCAAATTTTTGCCACACACACGTCAGATAGAGCACTAATCTCCAGGATGTATAAGGAACTCAAAAATCTTAACATGAAAAAAACAAACAACCCAATCAATAAATGGGCTAAGGAGCTGAACAGACACTTCTTAGAAGAAGATATACATTCAATCAACAAATATATATGAAAAAATGTTCAACATCTCTAGTAATTAAAGAAATGCAAATCAAAACTACTCTAAGATTTCATTTCATGCCAGTCAGAATGGCAGTTATCAAGAATACAGATAACAATAAGTGTTAGTGAGGGTGTGGGGGAAAAGCCACACTGATACATTGCTGGTGGGACTGCAGATTGGTGCAACCAATCTGGAAAGCAGTATGGAGATTCCTTAGAAAACTTGGAATGGAACCATCATTTGAGCCAGCTATCCCATTCCTCGGTCTATACCCAAAGGACTTAAAATCAGCATAGTATAGTAATGCAGCCATATCAATGTTCATAGCAGCTCTGTTCATTGTGGAACCAACCTAGATGCTCTTCAGTAGATGAATGGATAAAGAAACTGGTATATATACACAATGGAATATTACTCAGCATTAAAAGAGAGTAAAATTATGGCATGTGCAGGTAAATGGATAGAATTGGAGAATATCATGCTAAGTGAAGGAAGCCAATCCCAAAACACCAAAGGCCGAATGTTCTCTCTGATAAGTGGATGCTGATCCATAAGGGGGAGTGGGGAGGCATGGGAAAAATGGAGCAACTTTGATTGGGCAAGAAGAGGGAGGGTTGGGGAGGGTGCATGGGAGCAGGAAAGATGGTGGAATGAGATGGTCATCATTACCCTAGGTACATGTATGACTGCACAGATGGTGCAATGCTACATCGTGTACAACCATAGAAATGAAAAGTTGTGCTGCAATTGTGTACAATGAATCAAAATGCATTCTACTGTAATATATATACCTAATTAAAATAAATAAATTAATTAAAAAAGAAAAATACTATGTTAAATACTTTTTTAAAATTTTTGAATGGAAAAGGTATAGTAGAGGTCTTTCAATGCTCTCCCTACAAGCTAATGTAGTTAAAAAGTTGGTGTACTGGGCTAGAAGTGTAGCTCAGTTGTAGAATATGTGCCTCATGTTTATGAGGTTCTGGCTTAAAAAATTTTTGGTTATATCTTCTCTATTCATGTCTCTGTGTTTTATTATGTACATATTTATCCATAAGTTTTTTGCTTTCCTCTCTTTTTCTACGTCCTATTTTATCATTAATATATTCTGTGCTGTATTCCCTCCGTATTCCCCTGCTCCTTTGAAGGCTTTAGATTCTGTTGGTGAACTTCAATTGTGAGAATTACATTCTTTTAGATATTGGGGCCAGCTAGCCGCAGGAACGGTCTTTAGCAAAGTACAAGTAAACAGTACAATTTACCTGGAAAGGCCTCTGCTGGGCCTGGGATAAATCTGGACCTCTGCTGATACCCAGTGTGTCAGTAATGGCTGCTGGAGTGTCTGAGGGAAGACTGAGCAGCAGTGAGCAAGAACACAGCTGTAAGCCCTGAGATTAAGAATAGGATGAACTGACTGGAAGAAAGGGTGGAGTTGTAGACCCAGGGAAGCTGGGATAAGTGATGAGATAGGTCACTATTTTTTTTTAATTTTACTGCAATAAACGAAACATTTAATTTAATTCAGAATAAGAGATAAGGAATAACTCTTCAATAAAATATATAAAATTGTACAATGTACCCTTTCAAAGGGATTAAAGTGTACTGGGGAAGGGAGATGGACACCAAGGTGAAACACCACCTGCGCGCTAACTACACGGGCTGTTTGACAACACCATTTTTAGCAAGTTAAAGGATGGCTTTACCCTCTGCCCCCAACTTGTTAAAAAGTGTGGAAACTTTTCCTAATAAGTTTAGCACATACAATAGGTACACACACAGAGAAAGCATGATTTTTTTTCCTTCCTGGTTCTACTAATTGTTCAAGAATATTTCGCATATAGGTAAGATATTTGTTTTTTTAAGCAGAAAATTACTACACTTTCGTACCCCCCCCCCAAAAAAAAAACCATCTTTGCAATGTGTGAGTTGATGTACCTGGTATTTCATAGTAATCATCAATGCCTTCTGATACTCTTTAATTTTTTGCTCTCTGATGACTGACCCGAAATGGAGTTAAATAGCACAGCACTGAGAGAAGTTAGGAAGTATTTATTTCTGTTTTCGACCTTGCCCTGGGTGGTCTCAGGATTACTCTCACCACCTTTTTTTCAAGCTTATGAAAAATAAATGATAAAACCAACAATATGGAGAAGGAGGAAAATAGAGTCAAATATGGTAGCATCTCACAAGCTTTTTCTTATGCATATAAAATGCAAATATGTTATAATACCTCATTTATTTGCCAGAAGCTTTCCGTTATCTACTTCCTGGATGCATCCTAATTCTAGTATTTGATTTCTATAAGCAGAAGTCAACTCAGCATATCAAGACCACCAAATTTGCACCAATTTGGAAATAACCTGTCTCCTCCTTTAGGAAAACACAACAAATGGACTTACAGTCTCTTTAAGGTGATATATGTTTATAAAGTTTGCATATGTTTATAAATTTTGCCTTTCAAAATAATTTGAATTTTTACATTTACTGTATAAAAATCTTATATTTTATCATATATATATATATATTTATTTATTTATTTATTTATTTATACATTGAAACTGCCAGAGCCAATTTTCGTGAAAGGAGAAGGGAACATTTAGGATATGACGCCGAGTAAACAGGACGTGGTGCCTCCCATCTAAAGAAGAAATTCGAACTAGGACTTGGGGCCCTTGGGCCTAGACACTTTGGATGGTGCCTGAAATTTCGTTGTAGGAGGACTGGGTTGGTCCCCTTCTTTGAGAGAGAGGTGAATCCTTTTAAACGAATATCCATCCTGGATTCTACGCGGTATCCCACTGACGTGGCCTTGAGTCGGATGGGCAGGAGGGGAAGAGAAGGTCTTTGGAAAAGGTAGGAGGCTCTGGATAGGGACACTGCTTGCAGGGGCGAGTTGATGGGGAAAGGGAGACCGAACCGGGAGGGGCAGCCTAGGTTTAGCTGCCATCTTCAGCTTTTCCAGTTCTGCCTCCTGCAGGCTTTTTGCCTTGGCCCTGCGGTTCTGGAACCAGATTTTGACCTGGGTCTTTGAGGTTCAGAGAGCTGGAGAACTGCGCACACTCTGCCATGGAGAGGCGCCAGGAGCTGGGACGTGGTGAAGGGCATGCGAGAGGCTTCCGATTGGTCTTGTGTTTCCTCAGGGTGCAGGTGGTGGAGCTTCCCTCTAGACGGAGACGGGTCACCATTAAGAGTTGAACTGTGTTGCTCAAAAAGATGTTGAAGTTCTAATTCCCAGTGCCTCAGAATGTGATCTTATTTAGCGGTAAGGTCTTTATAACTAGTTAGGATGAGGTCGTACTGCATTAAGGGATGGGCCCTTAGTCCCGTATGACTGGTGTTCCTATAAGAAGTCAGCATATGAAGACACAGAGACAAAATGCCATGTGCAGACAAGAGGTAGATGGTGGAGTGATGTGGCCACAAGCCAGGGAGAGGAGAAGGCAATATGAAGACAGAGGCAGAGATTGGAGGGAGTGAGATCACTAGAAGTTGGGCCTTCTGGTGGTGATGGGCCACCAGAATCTGGAAGGAGCAAGAAATGCATTCTCCCCTAGAGCCTTTGGTGGAAATGTAGCCCTGCTGACACCTTGATTTCAAACTGATGACATTTAGAACTGTGAGAGAATAAATTTCGATCATCTTATGCTCCTGGTTTCTGAAAATTTATTATGCAGCCACAGGAAAATAATACAAATGGCTAAATGAAAAAGACAATAAGAAACATTGACAAGAATATTTTGAAATTGGAATCTTCCTACATTGCTTGTGGGGAAACAGTTGCAGTTCCCTACAATGTTAAAAATAGAGTTACCATAAGACCTGAGAATCTCACATTTCCATGTATACCTAAGAAAAACGAATTTATATGTCTACACTAAAAATTGTGCCTGAGTGTTCATAGCCTCTCTATTCATAATGGCCAAAATGTGGCTACAGTCAAATGCCTATTAACTGATGAGTGGATAAGCATGGCAATAAAGTAGTGAATGATACATGCTACATGGATGAATCTTGAAGACATTATGCTAAGTGAAAGACACCACAGCGACCGCATGTCATGATTCCACTTACATGAAATGTCTGGAATAGGCAAATCCATGGAGAACCAGTTGATTAGTGATTGCCTAAGACTGAAACAGGAGGAGGAGTGCAAAGTGACTGCTAGTAGTTAAAGGATTTTTTATAGCAATGAAAATGTACTAAAATTAGATAGTAGTAATGGATTTATAACTTTTAAACACCATTAAATTTTATACTTAAAGAGTTAATTTTACTGTTGGGTTACCAAAACAGGTCACTTAATATCATAAGGATATAAGGCATTCTTTCCTCTGTTTTTTTTCAATTTGCCTTTAATGAGTGTCTATAATGTGGCAGATCCTCTTCTAATCTCTAAGAACATAGTGGTTCACCAGCTTAGTCCCTTGGAATCTGTTTTTTAGCAACTATAGAAAAAAACGGAAACTTACTAAATGTGAGGTCATACGAAGGTGATGATTTGGTCCTATCCTTAGGTATGGAGTTAAGTGTGCAAAGTTAGAATGACCACCAGCAGGCTGGGAGATTGTTTGTGGGTAGCTGATCTGTTTCTTTTTAGTTCCTTTTCTTTTCTCTTTTCTGCTGTATTTGCAACCCTCTTAGCAAAAACCTAGAAGGGTCATGAGAGTATCCCTGTTCATTTTGAACTGCTTCCGAGACCACCATAGCTGTTACTAAAGTCCTTGAGCAGTGCTGCGCTCGAACTCCTTTACTCCAGCAGTTGCCTTAGCCTTTTGAACAGAAAGAAAGCCTTTGTTTTTCCATCTAACCTAGTGCTGTGAGTTGTAATGGGGGAGTTTTTCAAACGTCTTAAGGAAACTCCCTTTTCTTCAAATGTTTTCAGACTTCCACACCAAACAAGAAGTTTCCATGGGAAGAGTGAGTTGGTACAGATGGGGTATAGTCAGCCTGGGCAGGGAATCTGCTTTCCTGAAGTTCCTGCCCATGATGTGACTTGTTCGAGCCTCTGCCCCATTCAGGAAAGTCTGGCAGCCCTCTTCTGGCTTTTCTTCCAGTAATTAGTAGTTCTGCAGTTTGATGTATTCTCGTTTCTATTTGTAGATAAGATGCAGTATATTCAAGCTGAGAAAAACAACAGGGGCCCGATGGAGGCTGCCTCACTTTTCCTACAGTTCCTTTTGGAACTCCAGGAGGAAGGCTGGTTCCGTGGCTTTTTGGATGCCTTAAACCAAGCAGGTGAGTTCATTCTCCTTACAAATCAGAGCTTATTTCTTTGTTTTGTCAGAATGCTATAAAAGTGAAGAGCTAATAATCTTGAGGTATTCAAAATACTGTTTTCAGGCTCATAACACACTTGTCTATCTGAAACATCCAAAGGAATCTACAGAGATTATTGTAACTAATGAGAGTGGTTAGCAAGGTCATTGGATGTAAGATCAGTATACAAAACTAGTTGCATTTCTACCTGGTGGAAGCAAACAGGAATGAAATGCCATTTATAATAGTAATAAAAAGATGATGTATTGGGGAATAAATCCAACAAAATATTTGTAAAATCTAGATGGAGAAAATTATACAATATTAGTGAGAAACATTAAAGACATTCTAAGTAGAGAGGTACATCCCTGCACATGGAAAGTAAGACTTGGTACCATAATAATGTCAGTTCACCTTACTTTTATCTGTATGTTTAATGCAATTCTAATAAAAATCATATATGCCTTTCCAATGGGCTTAACAAACTGATTTTAAGATCTATATGAAAGAATCATGATCTCAGAATAGTCAAGACACCTTTGCATAAGAATTAGGTAAATTGGCCTTTCCCTTCTGGGTGTTGAGATTTATAAAAATGCTGGACATGGTGGCATGCGCCCATATTTTCAGCTATTCAAAATGATTGCTTGAATCCATGAGTTTGAGACCAGCCTAGGCAACATGGTGAGACCACCATCTCAAAAACAACAACAACAAAACTACAGAGTCTCTTACAGAGACCCACACATCTGATATTTTAAAGACCCCTGGGAACAGAGGATCACTGGGAAACCAGGGAACTATTCAATAAATAGCAGTTAAAAACCAAATACACCCTAACTTTCAGATCCATGTGGATATAAATAAATTTGTATTTCTTACTTTGAATTCAAGAGAATTTAAAGACTTAAATATAACAGCCATTTTTTAAGCCATTTTAGAAAATAACAGAATAGTTTTATTACATGGGGGCATGGCAGGATTTATTCATAAGATATTAAAGCATTAGCCATAAAAGAAAACTTGGTAAATTTGATAAACTGTTCTTAATTTAATACTATCATAAGTCACTATAAAGACAGTAAAAAAAAAAAAAAAAACAAGTCACAAGGTGGGAGAGGATAATTGTAAAATATATACTTACCAAAGAATATTTTAAAGTCAATCAGGAAAAGGAAGAAAACACTCACTGACCAAAAGATGTGGACAGATATTTCAAAGAACAGGATGTATGAAAGGTGAATAAATAAATGAAAAGATTCTTAGCTCATTTAGCAATTAGGAAACTATAAATAGGAACCCACTGAGACAGCACTTTTTAACTACTCGACAGCAAACTTAAGTCCAACAGTGTGAAGGTGTGAAGAAGACATTTAATAATGGAAAATATTAAATATTGCTTAAATAATGCTGTATACATAAGCAGACACAACTATTTTGAAAAACAATTTGACATTGTCTGGTAGAATTCAACCGTCATTTATCCCTTTTTCCAAGTTTTATTCTTTAGTTTGTGCTCTAGAAAAATATACATTTTAGAGTACACATACCATAATGTTTGTAGTATAATTATAATAACAAAAGCAAGCAAACAAAACTGGAAACAACCCCAGTATCCTCATAGAGAAGAATGGAAAAACAAGTTTTATAATGTTCACACAGTAGTCCATTAAACTACAATAAAAATGTGTGAACATACCTCTAGATTACAACTCAGAGAAATCTTAGAAATGTATTATTATAGAAATCTTAGAAATGTATTATAATATTAATTTTTTAAAAAAGAGAAGCTTAAATGTCGTAGGATATAATATGTATGAAGTCCCAAACAAATTAAACTAACCATACATTGTTTAAGGAAGCAAACATATGTCATGTGACCATTCCCAAACAAACAAATCAGGAGTGATATATCAAATACACAATAGTGAGTTCTTTGGTGAGGGGATAGAAAGCTGGGGAAGAGAAGGTATACACAAATGTTAAGACATTCTTGTTCTTAATATAAGTAGTGGGTTCACATGTGTACATTTTGGTGTGTTTTTTATGTGTTACAAATATTCTATTTTGTTATCAACCATTGCAAAGCTTTTTTAAAAAGTATTTATTTTTTAGTTGTAGTTGGACACAATACCTTTATTTTATTTATTGTTACGTGGTACTGAGGATCAAACCCAGGGCCTTGAATGTGATAGGCGAGCCCTCTACCGCTGAGCCACAACCCCAGCCCTGTTGCATATCTTTTAAATTTCTATTTTTAGAGCTCTGATATGTTCCTCAGTCTTTCTTATCCACACCTATAAAGTCAGTCTTACCCAGAGATATGAAAGACATCTTGGAAATCATGTGATCCAACCTCCCTCCTGTACATGAGGAAACTAAGGCCTTGAGAGAAGGTTTGCTCAGGATCACACAGATAATTGGCATTTGGTCTACTGATGGCTTTCTCTTGGGGTAATTTGTTGCACTGAGATATTAGACTGTGAGAGTAGGCATTGAGTTTCAACACCAAATCAGCCACTTAACTATTTAAGGGATATTAGCCAAGTTACTTGCCTTTCTGATTCTCCAGTTTACTCATTTGTCAAAGAAACCAAAGGATAATTTTCTTTTTGTGTTGTAAACAATGAGTAAGAGATACATATATGAAGAACCTAGCACAATGCATACAAAGAGGCACTAATCAAAATATAGTTGTTATACAATTATTATTTGCATTGTAGTAGAATGATTTAAAACCTGGGAAATTAAAGAAAACTTGTCATTACTACAGGAAAACAAATTCTGATGATGAGGTGTCTTCTATTACCTGTGTCCTCATATTGTAACACCAATATGTTAAATTAGCACAATGTTAAAAGCAAAACACACACTGTCCTTCCCTAGGTATTAGAATTCCTCAAGAGACACACATATATATAATCAGTATAATTGCAGTTCTTTTATGAAAAGTGATGTGGTTTTATTTTTCAAAAAAATTTAGGTGAAATTGTTTAAATCTTGGTTTCAATATTGTGAACTGAAACTTTTCTGCTTTTGTTTATAGGATTAAAAGTTGTTGACTTATTTTCTTTCATTTCCTAACCTTGCCTTAAAATTTCTCTAAATTTGTTACTGTAATATATGCCTATTTATTCCGAACAATTTAAATGGTACAGAAGGGTAAAGTGAGTCTCCTTCTGTTTACCTTCCCCACTACCTCTTATACAACCCTCTTCAGAGAAACCACTGTTTCTCCATTTTGGGGATATACCTAATCTAGGTTATTATGAGTTACTAAAACCCCTTATTAATTTATAAGTAAAAATGGAACTTCTAAATTCTACTTTAAAATAAAATGAGGTTTAGCAATAAAAATATAAGAACAAATAGGCAAGAAAAGAAACAAAAGTAAAATTGGACAGGAAGAAATAAAATATCTTTGTTTACAGATGAGATGGTTTATGTAGAAAACTGTAACAATTTTAAAAGAACTGTTAAAACTGATAAATTCAGAGAAGTTTCAGGATACAATATCAAAAACCCAAATCAGTTGCTTATCCATATATTATATAACAACCTAAAAAGTTATAAGAAAATAATTCCATTTATAATAGCACCAAAAATAATAAAATGCTTAGGAATAAACCTAACCAAGTAGGTGAAAGACTCATACCCTGAAAACTACAAAATATTGCTGAAAAAAATGAAAGAAGATAGAAATAAATTGAAAGACAACCCATGTTCATGAATTAGAAGAGGGTCTTAATTTTAGGGTATTGCTACTATCCAAAGTAATCTACTGATTCAATGCAACCCTTTCAGAATTCTAATGACATTTTTTTGCAGAAATAGGAAAATTTATTCTAAAGTTCATGGAATCTCAAGACATCCTCAAATAGTTAAAATTGTGAAAAAAGAAAAACAAACGCATAAGACTTGCACTTCCTGATTTTTGAAACATATTACAAAGCTATAGCAATCAAAACAGTGTGGAACTGGTTATGGAGACAAATACACCAATATCCCAGAAATAAACTCTACAGAGTATAATGGTCAAATGTTTTTTAACAAAGGTACCAATACTACTCAATGGAGGAAGCATAGTCTCTTTCACATATGGCGTTGGAAAACTTGATACTCATATGGAAAAGAATGAAGTTGGATACTTATACATATGTTAGTGCTCTCCAGAAAAACAGAATCAGTATGTTATAGTGTGTGTGTGTATGTCTGTATAAAGGGATGTATCTGTATACACAGGTGTTATTTATATGCATGTGAATCTACGTATCTACAATCTACAATTGTAGAGACTGAAAAGTCCCATGATCTGCTGTCTGCAAGCTGGAGAACCAGGAAAGTCAGTAGTATAATTCAGTCTGAGTCTGAAAACCTAAGTACCAAAGGGCTGCTGGTGTGAGTTCTAAAGTTGTAAGATCAAAGAACTAGGAACACTCTCGTCTCAGGATGAGAAAATGGATATCTGAGCTCAAGAAAAGAGAGAATGTGCCCTTCCTCTGGCTTTTTGTTCTATTTGTGTCCTTGACAATGGATTGAATGATGCCTGTGTACATTTTACAATATTTACTCAGTCCACTGATTCACATTCTGGAATCACCTTCACAGACATACCCAGAAATATTTTACCAGCTATTCGGTCATTCCTTAGTCCAAACAAGTTCATACAAAATTAACTATCACACACTGTATACAAAAATTAATTCAACCTTAGTTAAAGGCATAAAACTCTTAGAAAAAAACAAGGGGAAAACATCATGACACTGACTTTGGCAATGATTTCTTGGATACGATATCAACTTGATAAATAAGAAAAGGAGAAAATAGACGAGTAAATACCCATCCCTTTAACATGTTATGTCTTTACTATGGGATAATATATAGTAGTCAAAAGGATGAAAGACATCTATTCAGGAGTACTGTGTTAGGATATAATATTATATAAAGGAATCAAGTGGCAGAAATAATGTGCATCATGCAATTCCATTTTGTAAAAAAGGACGAACCCAGATTATATATGGGTTTTTCATGGAACTTCATTGAAAAAATATGAAAGGAAACTAAACTGTTAATGTTGATTATCTCTGTGAGGTTGGAGAGAGCAAGATTTTCAAGTGAAAGATGATTGTAAAATTTTCAACCTATATGCATTGCATTGTTTTAATTTCTGACTACTTAATTAAATATTGCATATATAGTTTTTTAAAATTAAGAATGAACCAACAATTATCTAGCAGTGTCTTAAGTTTTTTAATTTTATAGATTCAGCAATATTAAAAAGTGATAGAAAAGCATATGTAACAAAAGCAAAAAATAAATGAGGCTATATCAAATCTTGAAAACTTTTGTGCATCAAAAGACACAATCAATAGAATGGAAAGTGAACCCATGAATTGGAGAAAATATTTACTAGTCAACATCTGGTAAGGGATTAATATCCAGAATAAATAAAGAACTGTAACTCAACAAAAAATCCAATAACATGATTAAGAATTAGTCCAAGGATTTCCGGTTTCTTCATATGTGATATACAAATGCTCAACAAACATATGAAAAGATGCTTAGCATCACTAATCATTACATAAATGAAAATTAAAACTGTAATGAATTTTCATCTCATACTCATTATGATAACTTCTATCAGAAATTCATAGTAACCCATATTGGTGAGATATGGAGAAATGAACTCTTGTGCACTATTGGTAGGATGGTAAAATGGTGTAACTTATGGAAAACAGTATGGAGAGTCCTTTCAAACCTTAGAATCATCATATGATCCAGCAATACTAATTTTGGCATATTTCTGAAAGAATTGAAAGTAGGGTCTTAAAGAGATATTTGCACACCCATGTTCATAGCAGCATTATTCACAGTAGTAAGAGATGGAAGTAAACCAAATGTCCATCATCAGATGAACAGATAAACGTAATGTGGAATTGGGTCAGGGATGTAGCTCAGTGGTAGAGCACTTTGCTTAACATGTGCTGAGGGCCTAAGTTTGATCCCATACACAAAAAATGATATGTTTATACATGGAATATTATTCAACTCTTAAAAAGAAGGAGCTGGATGCAGTGTTGCATGCCTGTAGTCCTCACCAACTTGGGAGGCTGAGGCAGGAGTATCACAAGTTCAAGGCTAGCCTCAGCAAATCAGCAAAGCCCCAAGCAAATTTGTCTCAAAAAGGGCTGGGGATGCAGGAATTAAGATTTATGTTTCTTTTTGCCTTCTTTACTGCTTTCTACCGAGAAGATAGACATGAGAATTTGATTTATTTAAAGGCTAAATCAGGAGTTGTAGGTGGAATTCATGGAGCATTTTGGAAGATTTTATACTAAGGCCAAATATAAGACTTCATGTTTGTCCTTACTTTACTATTTTCTCCTAAAAAGATAATAAACATTGTTGGAAATCCTAACCTTATTGGGGAGCTAAGATGCATATTATTTTATTTTTGAAAAATCATTAATGACAGGTAATTTATAGGTGTTTTTGAATTCTGTCACTTTACATTTAAACGTGATTGTAGGATATTAACATCAAAGTATTTCTTGTTAATCTCATAAAAGTCCTCATTTTCTTTCTTTTCAGGTTATTCTGGACTTTATGAAGCCATTGAAAATTGGGATTTCAACAAAATTGAAAAGTTAGAAATGTACAGAACACTTTTAAGACGTTTGCAACCAGAATTTAAAAACAGAATTGTTCCTTTAGAAATCCTTCCTGAACTAGCTGAATGTTTAATTAGTCAGGAATGTGAAGAAATTAGACAGGTAAGTTAACATAAAATACTAGATTTGGAGGAAATAGAATATGGGATGTATCTTTTGTTTTCTATACTATTTTAAACCTAAGAAAGATAATTGAAACTAAAAAAAAAATCCTCATGTCTAAGGTATTATTTCCTAGAATAGTACTTTTAATGTGAATTGAGTAATTTTTATGTCAAAGTTTTAAAGTTTGACCTATTTTCAGTTAAAATTACCTCATTACTTTTCTGAATAATGTTTAATGCAAATTTAAATAAAACTGAACTGTTCAGCAAATGAAAAAGGCTATAGACTAGGAGTTAAGAATTTAGGCTCTGGACATAAATAAATTTTATTAAATTTCTAGCGTAACTGTATCTAGCAGTGTGATCCTGGGCAATTTATTTAGCTTCTGTAAACATCTGTGTCTTCATGAATAAAGTGGGAACAATTATAGTACCTAAATAATATGGTATTTTTATAAGGGTTAAATGAGATAGTATATGTAAAGTGTTGATAGAAGCCTGACACATAGTGTATGTGCAATAAATTTTAGTTACTATGATTAACAATAAAGTCATGTAAATCCCTCTACCCTGAAGAAAACCACTTGTTAATATTATGATCTTCCTAATATCTATTTATGCCAGTCTATCTCAGAGGAGATGGGAAATCTTGGTTTGAAATGATGATATCATGTTTAAAGGACAAGAATGAAGGAAAGAATATCTTAAGTGATAGTACTGAATGGAGTAAAAATGGCAATAACGAACACCCATAGGTCCTCAATTTGCAATGACTTTTAAATCAGATAATACTTGAAAACTCATAAATGGAAAACATTTTTGAAATAATCAATAAACTGTATTCTCCTTGCTTAGATTTGTTACAACAAGGGGATGATAGCAGGTTCAGAGAAACTGATCGAATGCCTTCTGAAATCAGACAAGGAGAACTGGCCCAAGGTTTTGAAACTTGCTTTGGAGAAGGAACAGAACAACCTCAGTGAAATGTGGCTGGTAGAGAAAGGTAGGGCGTGCCAAGAACAACTCGGAAAGGGAAGAGGGAAGGTTCAGAAACTGTGCCCCCTCACGACTCAACTTGGGACTTCCCTTATTGCCACCTGTTTTTACTTACTCTCACAGACACTTTTCCCTTCAGATACCTAAGGCTATATCTCTACTAAGAGGCCAGCATGATGCTGAGTTCTGGGAGGGAGGTAGCTACTTGCCTATGGATCTGATTTGTTTGTATGTAACTCCTCAACATGGAACAGAAAAAACTGCTGTCATCCAGAATTAGCCCATCAGGTCCAAAGAATTTGGTGCAGGCAGGTTCTGAGCTTCCAGTTTAGGTTATCAGAGAAATAGCTTGTGTACTCTTGAGTTGAAGGTTCAAACTCCAGGACTTACTTCTTTTTAGAGTAGAATCATGATAGACACTGCCTGGTTCTCTCACCTGGCAGCCATCTAGAAGTGAACAAAACGTGTGAATGAAGAAAGAATCTGCTGCAATTGTCTGTGCCATCATTTGGCTTCTTGAGACTGACATCTCCGAGCCTTGCCTTACAGGCTGAGTTTGGTAAACATCTGAGTGTCTAGTCTTGGTTTCAGCTAGACTTCTATTGATTAAAAGTTGTTCGGGAATCTATATAAATACACATCTACTTTCTTGGGTCAGGAATTAGTCAGAGATGGGAGACTTGAATGTATGCTAAGAAGAAGCTTCTCTTCTTTAGTGTACATATGAATTCCTTGGAAGCCTTTTTAAAATGCAGATTCTAATTCAGTAGGGGCTTAAGATTTGCATTTCTAACAAGCTTCCAGAGTTACTGGTTCCATGTTTTATACCTTGAATAATTAGTTCTTTGAAAAAAAAGTTTTTTGTGTGGTGCAGAGGATTGAACCCAGGCCCTTGTGCATGTCAGTCAAGCATTCTACCAACTGAGCTATATCCCCAGCCCTACAATAATTAGTTCTAAATGACTTTGGAGTTCAAACATCAAATGGAGACTTCACACTCAAGATGATTCTCTTAGTTGTTTTGAGAAGTGAAGGGATGTGGTTGTGGGAAATTAATGGAAGTTTAAAATTTTATCAAAACTATAATCAGATTACGTCAAGATTCTAAATTCTTCCTTTGTCTATTCACACAGGTGAAAAAGATATTGAAAATAAAGATCTGGAGGATGATGAAATGGAAACTTCTGAAATACACATTTTCTTCCAGGAAGATCCAGAATACCAGAATCTTAGTCAGAATTCCCAGGCACCCTCAGGTACTGGCATTGCTTGTTCTTTTTCATAATGGGGTTCTTCAGGTATTTGTGGGGGGATATATTTTGCACTGCCAGAAGTCACAGCCTTGTGATTTTTTTTTTTAAGGAAGGTTAAGAAAGAAAAGATAATTTAAGTTAAAGTAGATACTTTATGGTTAGAATTGTCATTTTTCTGTGATTGCTTCTTCTGCTTTTAGCTTATCTTTTCTTTTCTTCATTCTTGTTTTATCACCAAGAAATTATTGTGGCTACATTGAATTATGGCTACATTGAAAAGGCAAACAGAGTCCTCTCAGAACCTCAGTGTCTGAGAAATCCAACATCGGCCTTACTTTCTGAAAAAATACTTGTGTTTGTTAGCCACTTGTTCAATTTCCTTTTAAGATCCCAGGGCTGCCATGTCAGCTATGTGCACTGCACAAATGTACCTAACTGAGAACCAGCCTGTAGTATTTGCCAGTGCATGGAGGGATTGTGTCCTCCCAGAGGGCTCCTTGTTCTCAAACATCAGGCAATGTATAAGTACTTATTAATGGTCCTGTAAGGCCCCCTTATGTTTTTTTTTTGTTGTTGTTGTTGTTTTCTATGGACCTGTATTTATTTATTTGTATGGGATGCTGAGAATCGAACCCCGTGCATCACACATGCTAGACAAGTGCTCTACCACTAAGCCACTACCCCAGTCCCCCTTACGTTTCTTGAAATATATTTTCATGACCATTTTATGAAGAGACCAGAAGGTTACATAATATGCCAGAACAAAATTTTATTTATAAAAGGATATAAGGAACGGAATTAGGATTAATAATAAGTAGTGTTTGAAGAAAAAAATGCAAATTTTAGGATAACATGAAAAGAAAATTTGCGTGTTACTTCTGCGACTGAATGATACCAGTTTCTTGTCACTCTGATATAAAATGGATAACCATAAGTTGATTTAAATATTTCTGACATGTAAAGATCCTGATGTGTCATTCAAGTGAAGTTAATTCTCTTAACCTTTTAGAAATTCTCCCTTTTTAAAAAATGGGTAAATTAGACTCTTTAGACCAAAGACTTTTCTAGCTCTTAACATGTCATATTCTTACCTGGTATTGAGATAAAATCTCTGAGTATTTTTTAAAACTTCTGGTTGAGTTGAGAGAAAATATCATTTGAGAGTCTGAAAAATTACAAAGCATGATTATTCCCCAAGAAGAAATTGTTTTGAGAATCTGTATTAAGTTTGTTTTCCTTTAACCATCTTGGAGGGCATTTTTGTCTTGTTCCACATAGTGTTGCCTATAACTGGTGGTCGTCTGTCTTGCCCTGAATTAGGCCATTCTTGCTTTGCATTCTCTTTATCAGGATTCTGTATTGTTTAAGAAAGAATTCATTCCAATATTTTCCCCCTTCTTGCCATTGATACTTTGGCATTGAGAGAAAATTCTGCACTTCAAATGATTGGAGAAAGCTAGAATGGTTAATGAGACACGATTCTAAGGAGATTGAGACAGGATACTCAACCAACGCCTTTCTTGCTAGAGTCAGATTCATGTCCATTTGACTACAGCTATTGCCATGATTCCTTAGAGTGGTAACCATTTGGTAATTTTTTTTCCTTTTGTATCATAGAAATGTCTCGAACTAACTTGAAACCAAGAAATTACCAACTAGAGCTTGCTTTGCCTGCTAAGGAAGGAAAAAATACAATAATATGTGCTCCTACTGGTAAGCCAATCGCTATTACTTATACCTCTCTGCTCCCTTTCCCCCTTAAAAAAAATAAGTTTATTTATTTATTTTTAATTTGTTCTACTTAGTTGTACATGATAGCAAAATGCATTTCAATTCATTGTACACAAATGGAGCGCAACATTTCAATTCTCTGGGTGTACCCGGTGTAGAGATGCACTATTTGTGCAATCATACATGTACCTAGGGTAGTGATCTACATCTCCTTCCACCATTTTTCCTGCCCTTATAACCCCTTCCCACCCTCCCCTTCTTTTTTCCCCCTTTTATTGAGTACTGACAATGGGGAAGATTCAGTTTTTTCCATGTTCCATTTGCCTTTGAGAAAACTATCCTATTAATGTAGTCTCACATATTTTAAGGAATTTGAACAATGAAATTGAACAATGAAAGAAAAATGCCCTCTTTTAGTATGCTTTTGATCCTGGTTATTCAAGTGCAGGTAACTTGGGAAGTACTTGATTATTTTTTAGTTATAGCTTAAATTCTGCAGTCGTTCATCCCTCTAAATGATCAGTTTACTTACCTGCCCACTGGTGTTAGGAGAGCCAAAAGAAATACCTTTCCATAGCACTATCTAATACCATGTTACATGTTTTCTTTTTCCTTGTTTATTAAAAGGTTGTGGGAAAACCTTAGTTTCACTTCTTATTTGTGAACATCATCTTAAAAATTTTCCACAAGGACGAAAAGGGAAAGTTGCTTTTTTTGCTAATCATGTCCCTGTGTATGAGCAGCAGAAGTCTGTGTTCTTGAGATATTTCGAAAGGCTTGGGTAGGTATAACAGTCAGTCCAATTTCTTTTTTCTACCTTTATGCAACGAATGTGTTTTCTGTTTTGCTTTTTTAAAGCCACAATTTAAAAAAAATTGTAATAGATTCAGCTTTTATATAATCTAGATGTAATTCAGATTGCTTTTGTTAGATATGCCAGAAATTCTAATCTGATTTGCTCTTACAGGGTGATTAAATTACTTAATTGATAAGTTTGACATTTAAATGGCACATTTGATTTCTTTGATGATTTTATAATTTATTTGACAGTTCCCTTTTAAGTACTCTTTTTTTCTTTTAGTGACTTGAAAAAATAATATATTGTATCAGTTATAATGAGTTTGCGTTGGTCAATCACTTGCTCTGTGTCAGGATATATTCTTTTTGAACTTAGGGAGAACTTCATCAGTTGCTCTTCTGATCTAGTGCTTCATCTTTGTGTTTCCTCATTCACAGGATGGTAATATAGGATTTCTGTCTCTTCCCAGGTACAGTGTTGCAGGCATTTCTGGAGCAACAACTGAAAATGTCCCAGTAGAACAGACTATCAAGAACAATGACATCATCATTTTAACACCCCAGATTATTGTGAACAATCTCAAAAATGGAACTATTCCATCACTGTCTGTCTTTACTTTGATGATATTTGATGAATGCCACAACACCAGTAAACACCACCCATACAATATGATCATGTTCAATTACCTAGATCAGAAACTTGGAGGATCTTCAGACCCACTGCCCCAGGTATCTTCAAAATCAGATGTACTCCTCAGAAAAGCTATTATCTTCCTAAATCCTCCTTTACTTACTTTTTTTTTTTCTTTTGGTACCAGAAATTGAATTCAGGAGTGCTTAACCACTGAGCAACATCCCCAGCCCTTTTTTGTATTTTATTTAGGGATAAAGTCTCACTGAGTTGCTCAGGGCCTTGCTAAGTTGTTGAGGCTGGCTTTGAACTCAGTGATTCTCCTGACTCAGCCTCAGTGTCACTAGTATTATAGGTATGTGCCACTGTACCCAGGCCTATTTACTTACTCTTGTGGCTACAATTGAGGTTGTTCCTTTTAGATTCAAAGTTCATATTGTACAACTCATTGATGAATTTTGATTCCTTCATTTATTTATTCACTTAACAATTAGTTGTCCGTTAGTATTGAAAAGGGATTGGTTTCAGGACTTCTGCCTCCCAGATACCAAAATCTAAGGATGCTCAAGTCTCTTACAGGAAATGGCATAGTTTGTGCATATAACCTACATATATCTCCTTATATATATTTTAAATCATCTTTAGATTACTCATAATACCTAATATAATTTAAATACTATGTAAGTTGTTGTTACATTGTATTGTTTAGGGAATAATGACAAGGAAAAAAGTTTGTACATGTTCAGTTCTTATGTAGTTTTTTTCGAATATTTTTGATCCCTGTGGATTGGTTGCACCTGTGGACATGGAGGGCTGACTATATGCATCATGCACCTCTCTTTGCCTTACACTGTTCTCAGCACTGGGGGTGTAAATATGTAAAGAAATAATTCTTGTCCTCAAACACCTGAGTTTTCATGGGGAGACAGATATGTAAGAATTATGTTAAAATTTATCATAATGGTGTGTTGTGGATACAGGTATAAGATACAGCCAGAACAGGAGTGAAAGTACTCCTATGTGTGCTAAAAAAAGTAAGGCAAGACCTGACAGAAGTTGGGTTAATAGGACTTAGAGGCTGAGGCAGGAAAATTGCAAGTTCTGGGATATTTCAGCAACTTAGCAAGATCATCTCAAAATAAAAAAAACAAAAAGGACTGAAGTTGTATCTCTGTGATAAAGGGCTCCTTAGTTCAATCCCCAGTTAAAAAATAAAAAAGGCAGGGGGTGAGGGGGTAGGCAGAAACTAATAGGAGTTTGCCAGGTAGATGGCTGGATGATTTTCATTAAGAGGGTGCTATGTGTCCAGAGGCAGACTTCTGAAAGAACCTGGTGTGCTCCAGAATCTTGAAATTCTTCAGTGATACTTGCGTATAGAGTGTGAGGTAGGGAACAGCAGTAGGCAAGGTGGAATTAAAGAGGGGGAGCAGTGACTGGTAGAGCAAGATGCCTGGAGACACCAGAGGGTATGGGGTTAGTGGGCAAGTGGATGCATTAGTGTGGGAGGAGAGGAATGACATGTTTGATGTCATATGAGAAGGGTCGATTCAGAGAGTTGTTATTACATGGATTAGGAAGCAAAAGAAATCTCTGGTGTATAACTTCTCTTTTGAACATAAGATATGTAGATCATTGCTGAGTATCATTGATATATGAAAGGGAGCGGGAGCTGGGGAGAGTGGAGAGAATTTGAAATCTGAGGGAGAACTGAAAGAGACACTGAAAAATTCCTTGATTGTATGGGGGACTCAACTGTGGTTGGAAACTATGAATTTATGGTATACCAGTCTGCACATATGTCAAGTTCAACAGCCCTAATAATTATCCATCTGGGGAGTGCAGGTTAAAAGAAATTTAGTATGGTGCTCACAGACCAAAACTAGAATCTTTCCATATGAATCACCTTTCTTATAGCCTATTCTTCTAGAATAACTTTGATGTTAATTACATTTCTTGCTGGTTAGATGGTTATTCAATAATTATTGCACAGCTGGTGGAGGGAGGTATCTTACTAAATCTGCACAGATACCACTGCAAATAAATAGCTATGATTTCCCAACTTTGCAGAGAGCTGCAGGTGCTTGTCTAAGGACACACAGTTATTGTGACATGGCTGAGATTGGAATGGATTTGTGTCAATTTCAGTCCTTTTCCTTTTCAGTATGATGTTCTCCACATCATAGGGGACACAAGGCAAAAGAAAACAAAATCCTTGCCCTGAAAGTTTTCCCTGTCTCAGTTTCTAGGCTGCTTAGTGTTTAGCTGAGCTGCGACTCTTGTATTCATGCTTTGCCGATTGGGACCTTTTTATTTGTAATTTCATAGAGAATGTTAGGGGAAAAAGCTAACGTTGGAATGGTCTTACAGGTTGTTGGGCTGACTGCCTCAGTTGGTGTTGGGGATGCCAAAACCACAGATGAAGCCATGCTTTACATCTGCAAACTGTGTGCTTCTCTTGATGCAACAGTGATAGCAACAGTCAGAGACAACTTGGAAGAACTGGAGCAAGTGGTTTATAAGCCCCAGAAATGTAAGTGGTATCCAAGAAAAAGCTCTTGGGAATTTTTAACACTCTCTGCTACCCTTAGTTCAGGGTGATTTACATGAACACTGAACTTTGGCCCTTTATTTGTTTAGGAGAAAATATTTAACCCCAAACCTGGGAAACAGTCACATAACATTTCCAGTCTTTCTTCCTGTGTTGTCTTCCCTCCCAATGGATGAACATTAGAAGTGGCCTATAAGGAGCAAAAATTTCTACTTTGGCTCCATAAAACCCAGATAAAGGTCCTAGCAATGTGAAGGAGATGATGAGAAAAATCTAAGCAGGTAGAAAGCCAAAGGCTGGGCCTAGTCCTTCCCTGTGCTCCATGCCTGAGCCAGGTACTGTGTGGTCATCATCGTTTAAATATATATCTGAGGGCTGGGATTGTAGCTCAATGGTAGAGCACTTGCCTATCATGTGTGAGGCACTGTGTTCCATCCTCAACACCACATAAAAATAAATTAAAAAAAAATAGAAGTATTGTGTCCGTCTATAACTAAAAAAAAAAAAATATGTATCTGATAAATGTAGTTGAAATTACCTGAATTCACCTTCTTTGTCCTCAAAAGATCAGAATATTATCTTTAAAATAAGATTGACTTGCAAATGTTTGTTGTTTATTGACTTTATTATTATACTAATCCTGCAAGGGCAAGAGAGATTCAGGAGATACACCCTTGCTCTCTGAGCAGCACAGGACTGTATGAGTCTAAGGCAAAACAAATACTTATGTGATGGGGGGACACGACACGGGTAAGTTCCTGATGGGGAACAATCTGTAAGGAATGGAGAGGAGGTACCCAACGTTTTAACATCACGTATAAATTTCTTTGTAATCTGGTCCCTCCAGCCTTCTGAGCCTCCTCTCTTCCCAAATCCTATAAACCCAACCATGTTGCATTCCTCTGGGTTCCCACACGTGCCATGAGCTTTCTCTCTTTGAGCTCTTGCCCATGCTGTCCTTTCCCCATGACTACTCTTGCTCCTTTCTTTCTTCCCATAGTTATTCAACAACTCTGCCTCCCCCCAAAACATTAGATATTCTTGCCCTGTACTCCATGGTACCTTGCCCCTACTTAGGTTACAGAACTCTCCTATGAATGCAGCCCTCTATGGAGCATGGGTATGTTCTTTTCAACTCTCTATCACCAGAACATAGCACATGATAGGCAATTAATAAGATTGTGCTGAAAGAATACAACGATGTGTGGACACTCTTGGGGGCTGGGTAGGAAAGGAGAACAGCAAAGCACAGAGACAGGATTCGAGCGTACCACTTGCAGAACAGGAGGGCTTTGGCTTGTCAGAGGTAACAGGGCAGCTGAGTGAGAAACTAAAGCATGGAGAACAAATGTCAGAGTCAGTGTGGTGAGCAATAGGGAGCCAAGTTTTTTGAGCATTTGTTGTACGATTAAGACCATCTGCCAGTGAACTTGGGATCTCTAATTTTCCAGAGGAAGTAAAAGGTTTGAAGATACCCACTTTGAACTATGATTTGTTCTTCCCTAAAAATACTTACTTGCCTTTGATGGTTCTAGTTTCCAGGAAAGTGGAATCACGGACTACCAACAAATTTAAATTCATCGTATCTCAGCTGATGAGGGACATAGAGAGTCTGGCAAGGAATATCTGTGCAGAATTTGGTGAGTTCTCTTAACTCTCAGTGAGATAAGTCTCGTATATTGTGTCCCTTCCATTGGAATAGCCATAGAGCGTTCACTAGTGGCTTTTTACTTTCTCTTTCATTTAGACAATGTCAACACCATATTTTTTTAAATTTTAATTTAATTAAATTAATTTATTTATTTTTAGGTGGACACAACATCTTTATTTTATTTTTTTTAATGTGTGCTGAGGATCGAACCCAGTGCCTTACGCATGCCAGGAGAGCGCGCTACCACTTGAGCCACATCCCCAACCCCAGATATGGACTTTCTTAATCATAGGTTATTCAGGAGCCTAATAAGTTCTCCTTTATTCTCTCTTGCCTGTTTTTCTTTTTAAATGTCATGTAAATTGTTTGGACATGCACACCTTGAAAAATACATTTAAATCAGTTCATCAGCTTTCTTGACCTTCCAAATTAGCTTTCCATACTGACTTTCCTAGGAACTCAAGAGTCAAGTAATGGAAATCTGATGCAAATAGTTGTCATGGGGTGAGAAGTCTCACACTGGGCAGCACGGTGTCCTGGACTGGGAAGGGCTTTCTGAGAACCTAATGGCTGAGAAAATTCTTGAGGAAGTCAATCATGTCAAGGAGAGAAGCAAGTGAGGTTGGAAGGATAGCAGGCAAGGAAGGAAGAAGGAACACAATGAATTCTAGGAGCTTTTTGCTTTTACCTTTCCTTTTCTTACCAAGCTTAACTTAGGACCCATTCTAATAGCCTTATGGCAATTTTCCCACCTTCACTGTCTCTTCCATTTCATGTTCCATTCATTGGTTAGTCTTCTTGACATACCAAGTTTATGTTCATATAGCCTTTTGCCTAGGAAATAATTGTTGAACTCTAATGTGCATGGACAGTCTGCTTCCCTTTATCTTTACAGTTCCAACTTGGATTTAGCAGTTGCTTGAACATGTTCATTCATTCTTTCAGTGCCAAGCAATGTGCTAGGGAATATAGCGTGAAATCCTGAGGTGTAGCTTCTGTCCTCATGAAATTTCCAATCTAAGGGTAAAGTCAAAATTATGTAGTGAAGCTTCTGGGTTGGCTGGGTGCTGATCATCAGCTATGTTTCAGGCAAAGGGAACTCAATCTGCAAAGGTCAGCAGACTAGAGAAAGTATGGGGAATTCCATTAGTCTTATAAAGTGAAAGAAGGGAAGTGGAGTGGCTAGAGGTGAAAATTAAAAGTAGGCCAAGGCCAGACACCAGAGAACCCTGTTCACCCTTTGTGAGTAGAGGCACTAGCCTGTTTTTACTATAATGAAATATCTGTGACTGGGTAACTGATAAAGAAAAGAAACTTATTTAGCTCATTGTTTTGGAGGCTAAAAGCCTAAACAAAATGGCACAGGCTCTGGTGAAGGTCTCATGGTGGATGGCATTGGTGCAGGAGTACATGTGAGAGAATGAGATCCCATCTCCAGACAGGAAGCCAGAGTGGAGCCAGGGAGGGGCTTCTTCTTTTGTAACAACCCTCTCACAAGGAACTACTTTAGTCCCTTCTAAGGGCAGTGCTTCCTCCTAGGCCCCTTCTCTTAACATGGCCACACTGGGACTGATCTTTAAATGCATGAGCCTTTTGATAGACGCTTAGCCATATCTAAACCATAGCAGCAGAGTAGGAGTTTGGCTTCAGGAATCCATTAGAGGCGTTTATGCAGTTGGGTAGCATGGTTTCTCACTTGAAAATCTGTAAACTCCCTCTATTTTCTGGGTGGGGAAAGAATTGAGGAAACAAGGGAAGAGGTGGGGAGAGCAATTCAAGGTCATCTGGGAGCAAGGTGACATGGTGAAGTGGCAGAGGGAGGGAGAGATGGGGTGGAGTCACATGATTTTGTACTTTCTTATCCCTCTAACCCCTGGTACATTGCCTTCACCCTTTCCTTTGTATCCTTTCAATTGGTCATTTCCAAATTGCTTAAGTTGTTTTTACACCTATCCAATTCAGTAAATACTTGGTGATTCATCTAGTTTCTGTTGGCCACCTTGTTTGTCACTGGGGCTAGGAAAGAGGCATGTTACATGTTAGGGCAGTCTCCTTTGTTCCTCTTTCTAAAAATGAATGGACGAGGGGAATTTTAATGTACTGTGCTCATCTGGAGGAGCCCCAGAGAACTGATATGTTTCAGGCAAAGGGAACTCAATCTGCAAGACCAAGCCATTTGAAAACAGCCCAGGCTTTGCCTTCCTCATCTTTTTATCCTCAGCCCTAAACAGAGCCTGGACCATAGCAGACTCTGTTTTTGAACCAAGGAGTTGAGGCTTAGCTTAGGGGATGAAGGCATACAGAAGCGTCCGTAACATGCATCTCTTGAGTTCCTGTTATGTTTGGCCCTCCTGTTTTGTTTGACTGCTCTCTGGAGATCAGATGGCCTAAGTTCACAGCAAAGCAGAGCAGGCTGTGTTGAGTCCTGAATCTCCTGCTTTTATACACACTCCGGTGAAGCTCTTGAGACCTGTTATTTTTACTCACTGCTTCTTTATTTTTAAAGGCAAAGTCCCCCTCCCACCTCCCAAGTCCATTGTTGTATCTCTGTGATCCTTTAGTTGTCATAGCCAATAGAATTAGGGCATCAGACACTCTGGGTTTGAATTCTGGCCCTCCCCACTCTTTCTATCTGTGGGACTTTGGTAAATTACTTAGCTTTCCTGAACTTCCTATAAACAACTAGAAAGTGTAATCTCTACCTCATGAGTTTGTGAAATTATGAAAGTAAGACCCTGTGATTCTTGGTACATAGTTGAGGACTCAGTAAATAACCATTTGTACACAGAAACACACTGCTTAAGGCTCAGACTGTTGCAGGAGGCATGCCCTGTTTAAAGATAGTAAGAAAGGAAATCAGAGCATGGGGCGTGCTAGAACCTTAAGTGATTGACCATATGGCACAGTGAAAAGCTTTTTTTTCCTCCCCAGGAAACTTATTTCAAACTCAAAATGGGGACTTTGGAACACAGAAGTATGAACAACGTATTGTTGGAGTTCATAAAGCAGGCATGGTGTTTCGACTGCCAGACAAAGAGGAAGAGAGCAGGATTTGCAAAGCACTATTTCTGTATACTTCATACTTGCGGGTATGTTACATCTTTTGAAAGGCTATTTTAGTCATAGCACCCCCTGGGAGCCGCACTGTGGCAGCCGAGAGACTATTAACATTTATCTCATCCTCTCCCCAAGAGCTCATTTAGGAATCTTTGATTTGAAAGGAAAGTTTGGAGCCAGACATGGTGGTGCATGCCTGCAATCCCAGCGACTTGGGAGGCTGAGGCAGGAAGATTGCAAGTTCAAGACTAGCGTCAGCAACTTAGCAAAACCCTAAGTAACTTAGTGAAACCCTTTTATAAATAAAATATAAAAATGGCAGGGGATGTGCTCAGTGGTTAAGTGCCTCTGGGTTCAATCCCTGGTGAGGCATTATTTCTGAAATGATAATAGTGGAGGCAACAGGACTGAAACTTGACCATCATTTCAGCAGTCCCATGTTTGACATGGTTGGGAAAAATTGGGTGATTCTAAGAGGACATTTTCTTGATATGTGACCAGTAGTAGCCATCTTTAAAGCCTATGTGAGTCCCATTGCCTGAACTTGTGATTTCTTGCTTCTGATAAAGTCCCGTGCTCAGAAATCTAGGGTCTCTGGTTAACCCAGGAACAACAGTAATAATCATCACCTTTGCTCATTATGTCACTGAAAATATTTTAAAATGCATTCAGTTAGCATGTGTTTGTAGAATTTTAATTATCTTAATTGAATTGGTATAGTTGGTCAGTAATGTCATTCTGAAAGGTGTATTTATGATTTAGAAATTCAACTTCAGAAAATAAGTTGAATGTTTGAATTATAATGTAGGTGTAGAAGTTGATATTCTTTTGTTATTACTTTTTATGATATGCATTTTTCATGAGTTTCTCTACCTGCCCCCTCTTGCCAAGATGGAATTTTAAAATTGAAAGTGCTTCTAATTACTTAATGTTTCTAGCTAATTGAGATTTTTAAAAACTGTATTTGGCTCAAATTTTGATTATAGAACCATCAGGGAACATTCATCTAAAAAACCCAACTGAAATAGACTTAAAAACGAATTCCTTGTTAAGGGCAGCTAATTGAATTTAAGCCGGGCAAATGTGTTAGACGATGGAAATATATTGAAAATCAGTTTTTATTTTAAACAGAAATATAATGATTCCCTCATTATCAGTGAGGATGCACAAATGAAAGATGCTCTGAATTACTTGAAAGACTTCTTCAACAATGTCCGAACAGCGGGATTTGATGAGACTGAGCAAGATCTTACTCGGAGGTTTGAAGGTGAGGGGTGTTTTCTGAGAAGGAAGCCACCAGAGTCTGGTAATTCTGAGTGGTAACATACAGACATGGTGTTGTATTTAATATACATAAGTTTGGTGGTGCTCAGGCAGTTGTACTGGGTTTAAGAAGATATTATGGGTCTGGGGTGTAGCTCAGTGGTAGAGTGCTTGCCTAGCATGTGTAGGGCAACAGTTCAGTCCCCAGCACTCCAAAACAAAACAGTGGGGACTGGCTTCAGTGAAATCTCATACCTATGGAGAGATTCGGTTGCTTAAACCATTACCTATTTGGAAGAAGGAAAAAAGTAGAATTTGCGAAGTATAATTCTCATAGAGTTGATGACTTTTTTTTTTTTGTTTAACTTTCAGTGATTTTTATAAAAGTTTAAAGAATACAAATAAGTATTCTAATGATCTTTGAAGATTATATGTATATATACCTCTATATGAAGAGGAAATCAAAATGACCCTTAATTCCATTGCCCTCATATTATTACCAAAAATATGGAAACATATTAAGTGAAAAATTTTCTTCCTCTTTCTTTCAAATTTCTTTTCCCAAAGGTAATCATGGTTGTTAATTACCTTGTCCTGTACTGAAGTATTTATTATACATATGTATACCTAGTGGTGTGCTGTGCTGATAAACATTTAACAGTTTTCTGGGAAGAATGTGTGCATATATTATACATAAGTTTGTTATAAATTTTATTGATATAGAAGCTATATAGCATGCAACTTACAAATAATAAATACAATCTCCTTGATTGTAAATTCTACATAGCCAGTTGACTTGTATAAATGGCTTTTAGTGGTTTTGTAGAATCCTGGTACTTATTACCAACTTATGGTTGTAGCTAACAAACGAATATACTTCTGACATGGATGTTGGTATATATTTTCATTAATGTTGGGAGTAAGATGGAAATGAAACAACAGAGACATTGGAGCTTCACTTGTTTGTCAAGGATCTGAGCAATTTTTTGTTGTTGTTCTGAATTGGACAATAGTTTTTCAAACCCTGGGAGATTATATCCTTTTGTTCAGTGTACTCTTTTTACAATGTAATAGCTAAGTTTGATCTGCATAATTTTCTCATTGCTTTCATAAGTCTAGATTGTCAAGAAAATAGATCAAACACTGATTTTCAGTGTTTCCTGACTTTCCTGGTATCAGTACTCCCACTGTCATCAAGTTCAAGCCACCAACATGTTGTCATCAAATGAGTGACCAAAAAAATGAACATAGCACACCATTCTGTAGTATCCCTACCATACAGATACAATAGATTTAAATAATTTAAGAGCATAGTTTATAGTAAAAATCAATAAAATAATTAAGAGATAACGAGTGTGGGCTATTTATTACCTTCATTTTTAATATGTTATTGAGTGGCAAATGTATATCAATTATATAAATTTTAATAATCATTGTATTTAAAACTAGCTCATGCAATTCTCAAAAATTTAACAATTGACTATCAGTCTGGTATGATCTGGCTCTAGCACACCACAGCTTCATTCATACATACATATGTATGTGTATACACACACACACACACACACACACACATATATGGCATGGTACTGAATATACTATCTTGTATTTTGATTTTGTTTTTTTGGTACCAGTGATTGAACTCAGGGGCACCTGACCACTGAGCCACATCCCCAGCCCTGTTTTGTATTTTATTTAGAGACAGGGCCTCACTGAGTTGCTTAGTGCCTTGTTTTGCTGAGGCTGGCTTTGAACTCTCGATCCTCCTGCCTCAGGCTCCCGAGCCACTGGGATTATAGGCGTGCAATACCATGCCTGGCTGTATTTTGATTTTTTTATTTTTTTTATTTTTTTTTATTGTTGGTTGTTCAAAACATTACATAGTTCTTTTTTTTATTTTTTTTATTGTGTATTTTGATTTTTTTAATCTAAAATATCTTTGAAATCATTATGTATGTATTAATCCCTTATAAATTTTTAAAAATTTTTTAAATTATGGACGGCCACAATATCTTTATTTATTTATTTATTTTATGTGATGCTGAGGATCGAACCCAGTACCTCACATATGCCCGGCAAGTTCTCTACTACTAAGCTAACAGCCCCAGCCCAATCCCTTATTAATTTTAACAACTGACATGTATAGCCCATCATGATCTGTTGAACTGTTTCCCACCTTTTGGGTATTTAGGTTGTTTTCTAAATGAAAGTATTGTGACTATTCTTGGAGATATCTTCCATAATTTTCTGAATATAGTGGTATTTAAAATTCTTAGATATAGAATTATTGAATCAAAAGTTGTGTGAGCTTTATGTTTTAATGGATATTGCCAAATGACCTTCCTAAAATGTACCAACTTATATTGGTAGTTGTTACTCAGAAAATTTTGGTCTAAGATTGAGAGATTAACTGAACTTTTAGGTCACAATGTGTTATAAATTTTAAAAATTTTGAAGCCATATGTAAAGTGTTCTCCATTTGCAGAAAAACTGGAGGAATTAGAAAGTGTTTGCAGAGATCCCAGCAATGAGAACCCTAAACTCAACGACCTCTGCCTCATCTTACAAGAGGAGTACCACTTATATCCAGAGACCAGAACCATTCTTTTCGTGAAAACCAGAGCACTTGTGGATGTAAGCCTTCCTTTTTCTTGTGAATAACAGATTGGCCTAGTACCATGTAAAAGACTGCCTTTTCCTCACTGCTCAGCAGTCAAGTGTCCATAGGTGTGTGAGTCTGTTTCTGGGATCTCTATTCTGGTTTTCTCTTTGTTTATTCTTACATGAATACCTTACTATTTTTCATCACCCTAGATTATAAATCCTGATACCTATGGATTAAGAACTTCATCTACCCACACAGAAAATTTAATTTTAGCCATTCTATGGATGTGTAATGGTATCTCACAAGAATTTTGATTTGCATTTCATTAGTGACTGAGATGGCTAAACATCATTTATATGCTTTTTAACTTTGGTGGGGTATCTGTTCAGTTTATTTTTGGGTGCCTATTTTAAAATTGGATTGTTTATCATCTTATTGAGGTTTTGAATGTTCTTTTTAATGTTCTCACAAAAAGTCCTCTGTGATACATGTGATTTAAAAATATTTTCATCTGGCTTATGCCTCCGCTCATCCCACCCCCTGCCACCCAATTTTCTTAACAATAGCTTTTGCAGATTGAAAAGGCCAAAGATTAGTTTATCAATTTTTTCTTTTCTGGATTTTACCTATGGTATATCTAGGAATTCTTTGCTTATTTAAGGTCCCCCAGATTTTCTTTGTTATCATTTAGAAGTTTTATAGTTTTACATTTTATATTTGGGTCTATAATCCATTTTGAATTTTTGTATGTGGTTCGAGGCATGGGTTGAGATGCTTTCTTTTTCTTTTTGAATATGGACATCCAATTGTTCAGCAATGTATGTTGAGACTCCTTTCTCTATTGAATTGCCTTTGTAACTTCTTTAAAACCAAAAAATTTGTTATCTGTATTTGTTTGGATCTATTTCTGGATTCTGTTCTCTGTTCCTTTGATCTATCCATTCATCCATTCATTCATTCCACAACTAACTTGATTACAGTAGCTTTATGATGTCTTGAAATGGAATAGTGTAAGTCTTCCAATTTTTTTCTAAGTTGTTTCAGCCATAATCTTTTGCCTTTCCATATACATTTTAGAATTAGATTGTCCACATCTAAGCAAATTCTTGCTGGAATTTCACTTGGAATTGCATTGACTGTATAGATAAAATTTGGGAAGAAATGGCATCTTAACAATATTGAGTCTTCTAGTTCAGAACCATAATATTGTTACTAAGTATCAAATTAGTCCAAATTAATGTTAGGGAACAACAAACATTTATTATCTTAATACTCATGGATCAGTATTCTGGAAAAAGCAGCATTTCTGGCTCAAGGTCTCTTGTAGAATGCAGTCAAGGTGTTGGCCGTGATTTCAGTCATCTTGAGGGGAAGATCAACTTCTGAGCTTCCTTATCATGGCTATTGACAGGCTTAAAAGATGTGCTTCCAAGTTTACTCATGTGGGTCTCTCCACCAGGCTGCCTCACAGCACGGCAGCTGGCTTTCCCTAGAGTGAGTGACCCAAGAGAGGTTGAGAGAAAGAAGGCCTGATTTGGAAGCCACATTCATTTTATAAATTCTTTTTTGAATTTGTATCTCATCATGTCTACTGTACTTCTTAGAAGTAAATTATTAAGTGAAATTCACTCTCAAGTTGAGGATTTGAATTTAGGAGATGGAAGTCACTGAACACTACCTTAGAGGCTACCACTGTTTTCTTTATTTGTTTTACCAATGTTTTGTCATTTTCAACATAGAGACCCTGCGTGTATTTTGTTAGACTTTTACCTAGGTATTACTTTTGGTTACATTATTATGAACGGTACTTTTAACATTTTTTTTCAAATTCTAATTATTTGTAGTATGTAGAAGCACAATTGATTTGTGTATATTGATTTTTGTGTCCTGCAGTTTTGCTGAACTCACTTATTAATTCTCTGTACCCACTATTTTGAACTTTACTTTTTTTGCTTAAGATATATCTTGGCAATTTAACCAGATAGGTCACAAAAATCTATACCACTAGTCTGTATTATTGCATGGATTTCAAGGTTTGTCAGTCTGATATCCATCTGTATACTATAAATCTTTTTTGTTTATATAAATATATATTTCAATATTGAATTAATAAAGAGAGTTTACAAGTAGTTTCTAACCGATACTTTTCATTTTTAGGCTTTAAAGAAATGGATTAAAGAAAATGCTGCACTCAACTTTCTAAAACCTGGTGTATTGACTGGTCGTGGCAGAACAAATCAGAATACAGGTACTTATATATGTAGTAAATCAGATTTAGTATACTATCTATATAAAATACCTAATACACATAAATTCTTTTTAAATGCTTCTATCAGGGTTCAGAGAAGCAAAACCAGTAGGACATTATACATATATATGGTATGTGTATGTGTATTTTTATGTGTACATATACCTATGCATAACCTAGAGATTTCTTTGTTGTTGTTTGTCTTAGAGTATTTTGCAAGAAAATACTCTTAAGATTTAATAAATGTTTTACAACTTTGAAATACAGTCACATAGTAGCTTTTTAAAATTAGTATTTGCATTGTCTCTGTAGGTGATTATAAAAAATAAAAAATAGAATGAAAACTTAGAGCCATGAGAAATGTCACAGAAGGAACTGGCTTATACAATTGGGTTGGCAAGCAAGTCTGAGATCTGTAGGGCAGGCAGACAGGAAGGGAAGATCAGAATCAGGTTTAAACCCTGCAAGCATGAACTATTTGAAGTCCCTGGGCTCAGAGAGGGCTGAGCTCATTGCTTCCCATCCTGTTCCCTTTAAAAAGTTCACCTGAATAGGTCAGGCGCACCTAGAATGAACTCCCTTTTAGTTTAAGTTAAATCCAACTGATTGTGGATTTTAATCACATCTGCAAAATCCCTTCTCAGCAGCACCTAGATGAGTAACTGGGAACTGTAGTTCAGTTTCACCCAGTTGGTGAATTAGAAGGCCATCACACTGCACAAACACCTCAAACACTTGTCTCTTTGCTGGTAGACAGTTGCTTCTTCTCATATGTCCAACCAACAGAGCCAAAGTTGTTTTCCAAATACTGGTTGAATGTATCCCTTTCGTTAAACTCTCATTCAACAAATTTAAGATTAACTGAAAATATAAATATTCTGTATTATTATTATTATTATTTAAACTGTTGACATATAGCTTTTATATATATTATATATATTATGGTATAAAAACAGTCAAAGGTGACAATCCTGAAGTCTAGCTAGGGTGGTCAAAGGATGATAAGGCTTCTCTGTTACCATCTGAGAAGGTCCTAGATGGCCAGCTCTCATTCTGACCTCTTCACAGCGGTGCTACCCACCCTCTAGAGACTATTTCGTCACCCGCAATAACGGGCTCTCACTCTGCTCTTCTTATTGAGTATTGTTTGTAGTAAGCAACTTCTCATCATCCCCTCATCTTGGTCCTCCGTCGTTGCTCTTATTCTTTCCCCACATATAATTTCTAAACTTTTGGAATATGAAAAGTAGATTCAGATTTTGAAACTGTGACTTATCAAGTGAAGTACAGCATCACCTTAGTGTGGTTGGGATTCAAAGTTCTCTGCAAATGATTCCAACATGAGTTTTCTGAGTAGGCACTCCAAAAATATTCTTACTTTAGAACTCCCTCTGTGCCAGGCGTTGTTCTTCTCCCAAGCAGCCACCATCCTCTGAAAATGAACAGAGGCGCCCTTCTTCTACATTTCCACAGCATCCATTCTACCTGTTTCATTGCTCACCTCATGGAATCACAGCTTCCTATTTATATCCTCCTACAAAATGTGAGCTCCTTATGGATAAAAGTGGAACCTATAACCATTTTGCTGCTATCTGACAAAGCATGATCTATGATTACTGAATAAATGTTTGATGAATGGATAGATAGGTTAAGATGATTTGGATAGATGGGTGAAGATAATTTTGACTAAATATTTTTTTTCTGGTCTATCTTCTTCTTGTTACTATTTTTTTTAAAGAGAGAGGAGAGAGAGAGAGAGAGAGAGAGAGAGAATTTTTAATATTTATTTTTTAGTTATTGGCGGACATACATCTTTGTATGTGGTGCTGAGCATCGAACCCGAGCCGCACGCATGGCAGGCGAGCGCACTACCGCTTGAGCCACATCCCCAGCCCCTTCTTGTTACTATTAAACTAGAAAAATCGTGAGCTTTTATAACAAAACTTCAGGAGGAAGATAAATGTCAGTTCAGTTTGCTAAGTCTGAATATTTACAAATTCCCATTCCTATTGCCTTTTGATTTTCTATTTTGTGAAGAAGCAGGTTATTTAATCTATGCCTCATTTTCCTCATCTGCCAAATGGAAAAATAATAATATTCATTATAGCTCATAGGGTTGATGTGAATAGCAAAATACAGCTTATTGCCTGATTTTGAATGACTCCTGAGCTAAAAATAAGATTTACATTTTTAAATGGTGGAAAAAAATCAAAAGATTATTCATGACATGAAGCAGATATGAAATTCAAATTAAGTGTCTATAAAAAGTTTTGTTGGAACACAGTCATGTTCATTTATGTATTGTCTGTGGCTGCTTTCACACTGCAGTGGCAGTGTCGAGCAGCTATGACAGCATGGTCCACAAAGCCTAAAATATTTACTAATAAGCCCTTCATAAAAAACGGTTGCCAACTCCTGGTTTAGAAATGCCTGGCACATAGCAAGTGTTTAATACAGATTCAATATTAGCTTCTCACATATAGACTTCACGTATAGACTTCACGTATAGACTTCTCACAGAGTGGTCCACATGTATTGTTTCATTTGTTTGGATTCAGTTTTACTGAGAATCCACAGATTCAAAAGAAATAGAAAGTATGTTTATATCTTTAACAAACAGTAATCTGAGTAAAGAAACCCAAAAGTAAAATCAAATAATTAGGGATTAAATTTAAGTGAATTTCTACAAATAAAACCGATTGCACTTGAGTTTTCATGACTTGGAATTACAAATAATTAATCAATTTGGAAAATGGTCTTTGTACAAACTGGATCCCATGGCCAGCTAGGTAAAGGAGGTAATATTACTTTCCTCTGCTTGCTTGAGGTGGGCTTTTCAATGAAACATTAAATGGAGATCTGAAGATGATTCCACTAAAACTTAAATGCCGATGAGTCTTTGGGGCCCGTAAAGTTTTTTTTTTTTTTTTTTTTTAATTTTTTATTGTTGGCTGTTCAAAACATTACATAGTTCTTGATATATGGGCCCGTAAAGTTTGAACTCAAGTGTGCATATTCTTTCTCACCATTTTTGGTGTTGCCATGATCATGTGAACTGGGTAATTACCACATCCTAACTTTAGTCTATATAGACAATTTAAATGTAGCCTTCAAGATCATACTGCTATAGGATATCATGGAAAGATGCGGCTATCTTAGTCAAGGTCCTTTCTTTCTCCCCAGTTAATAGAAATCTACTTAGCTAGTCTGAGCAGAATGGGGGCCAGCTACAAGGATGCTCAGGTCTGTATAGGAAGTGCACTTAGGCTTCACAGACATTTACAAATGAGACTGGGAAGTCCTGATTCCGTATGTCTGTTTCATTCTTTTTTCTTTTGCTCTCTCCATTTCTTCATTTAAGACTCCCCATACCTTCCCAATTTACTACCTGTCTCCAAAACCCAATCTCAGAATCCAAGAGGGAGGATGTGGCCCAACATGATTGAAGTGCTTATTTCAACCCAGTAGCTGCTATTTATCATCCCAGGGTGTCTCTACTTCCTCTACCATAACCTTATTTAGTCCATTGAGGAGAAATGGCAAGAGTATGGATGATTTTTAGGGTCAGTTTTGGAAAAAGGAATACACTGCTTTTGTCTGTATGTCATTAATGAGAATTAGTCATAGGCACTCCAAATGCAGGGGAAGCTAGGAAGTCTATTTTAGCTGTGTGCCCAACAAGAGGAAGAACAGATAGACAGATAGTGTTTTCTCTTTCCTGGAGAAACAATACGACTATTGGTGAACAGCGAGTGCTGTCTCTTTGATTGAAAAACATAATACAACTGCAGCTACCCAGAGTTTCACTCCTCAGAGCGTGAGAGGAATAATTCTCAGACAACAGAAGGCAGGGAGTGAAGAACACTCCAGGAGGCACTCTATTTGGGCATTAAACATAAGTTAAAGAAATGAAACTACTGCTTGCTAACCTGTCAGTTTACCATACCTCTGGAACTGTAAGGCCCTCATCTGTAAAGGGGAATCATGTCACAATTCCTTGTTCATCTAAAAGGGCCTTGTAAAGTTCCAGTGAGTGCAAAAGTATGAAAATGTTTTGTCAGCTGTAAATTCCTGTTTGCATGTAAAGGTGTTATTGTTAGTTGTTGATATTTTTGCAAAAAGGTATTTGTTTTGGAATGATATTGTTGAAGTCACACAACTAGTAAATGCCGCAGTTGGGATTTGAACTGTTAATGTTGTCGCAAAGTCTCAGCTATTAAAGGTCTCTCTAAATTTCCTCTCTAAAACTGGCATAGGAATAGATCCTAATGCTTATGGTTGTTGGGAGATCAGGAATATAAAGCACTTATTATAGTACCTTGCATATAATGTGTATTCCATAAGTAGTTGCTAGTTTTTCAAGTGGAAAGTTTCCTCTTTGGTGAGTTGTGTAATGTCTGCTTGATACAGGCATGACCCTCCCAGCACAGAAGTGTGCACTGGATGCATTCAGAGAAGATAAAGATAATATTCTGATTGTCACCTCAGTTGCTGATGAAGGCATCGACATTGCTCAGTGCAATCTGGTCATCCTGTATGAGTACGTGGGCAATGTCATCAAAATGATCCAAACCAGAGGTGAGAGAAACTGTGATACAGTTCCTATATGGCTCCCACTGTATTTTGTTTGGTGTTTGTCTGTCATTTTGGCCTATTTCCTCTACCGAATGAGGTTGAGTATACAATTGATGGTACAGGGGACTCAGGTATGTGGCTAAATGGTGACTTTGTTTGGTCTGGATTGGGTGTTTATACAGTTGTACCCATTAATTTGTACCCTATAGTGATTCTGTTCATAATGATACTGCTTACTTGCCCAACACTGACATATTTGTGAAAGGATAATTCCAACTTGGCTTGAGACTTGGCCAGTGTAGATCTTTCTAACTGGGCTGGTGGCTCCCTGTGCTCCAGAGGAGATTCTTCAGAGTTCTGTCCCACCTGGACTAGAGAATCTCCCAACTAGCATACTTCCTTTTCCCTTTTTTTCCAATTTCTATGACTACCACATTAATTTTCCAGAAAAACAGCTCTGAGCGTGTCACTGCCAGTACAGAAACTCTAATGTTTCCCCATTTCACTTCATGTTCAAGTTTTCAAAATCCAGGACCCACTCACCTTTCCAATCTATTTCCCATTCTTCCCCTTCTTTCATTCTCCATTTCAGCCAATCAGACTTCATCATTTGCTGTTGAAAGTATCGTTAGTGTACTGCTACTATTTTTACTTCTTCCTCTGCATCCATCTTACCTGTCCCTAAGTCTCCCAGCTAGAATAAGATCTTTGAATGCCCATAGCCCTCTATGTCTATCTTTGTTCTGGTGATTGTGAACATGTCATTGCCTAAAAGGCTCTTGAGGAAGGACCTATTCATTATCATCTTAGAATCATGCTCAGAGTCATACGAAGGGTTCATATTGAATTATCTTTAAAGTGGCATTTCTGATAATAAGGCTATACAATCACACTGTGCCATTGGAGACCTAAGAGAGCTAGCCTGAGGTGGGCTCCTGGTGTATCCATGTGTTTAACATGCAGGTGAAAGCAGGATTCAGTGAACCAAATTTGAAATTTTAGGAATATCTCTGTCCTTTTGTTTTTGTGTTCTCATGATATATGAGTTTTAAGTCAAAAACACCAAATAAAATATTTATTTTCCAATAGGCAGAGGAAGAGCAAGAGGTAGCAAATGCTACCTTCTGACTAGTAATGCTGATGTAATTGAAAAAGAAAATATAAACATGTATAAGGAAGAAATGATGAATGACTCCATTTCAAGACTTCAGACATGGGATAAAACGGAATTTGAAAAAAAAGTAAGTCAAATTTTCATCTGACCATAAATAACAGAAAACATGAACAGGGTTTGTACCTTTTATCATATTGTTCAGAATTTTGTGTTATAATAGTAAGTTTGTTTTTGTTCCACAGTGAACATTAAATTTACTGGGTTTTATTTTGTTCTGTTTTGTTTATGGTGCTGGGGTTTGAACCTGGGGCTTTGTACATGCTAGGGAAAGTGTTCCACTACGGAACTACATACCCAGCTAAATCTGTTATATTTTAGGGTCAATGAGATTAAAATTACTGAAGTTCTGTTTTTATATCTAAAAGGCAAACAGAGGTATATTTTCTTTCAAGTGGACAGTTCTTGAGGGCCACATCCTGACACTGCATGACACAGCTCTCCTTTGTTTCTTTCTGAAATCTCTCTGCCATCCAAAGTCCTCTGAGAGGAGCTCACAGGTCACTGGGCAGATGCTGGAATGCCTACATGTAGCTGTGGACAATAACATATACCTTAGAGTGGCACACTTGTTCAGAGTAGCCTCTTGGTAGTAACCCTCATTTTATTGTAATTTCCTTTGTACCACAGAAACATGAAATCAGATTGGAGAAGAAACAGCCATGCAGGCATGCTTACCCACACTTTCTCTAGACCCTTTGCAGAGATTTTCATTTCAGAAACCTTAGAAGCACTGAATACTGCAGGACTGGGGAAGAGTTTTTGAAAATACTCAGTGTTTCAAATTCAGTTTTGCCAGTTGCATTGTGACCTCAGGCAACTACCCTGTCTTAAATAATCAATCTCCTTACATGTCAAGGTGGGAAATTTTTTTTTTTAAACTCTTAGGGAAGCCATGAGAATTAAATGAGAAATATGTGTTACTTAGCACAGTACCTGGTATAAAATATGTGCTCAAAAAATGAGAGTTGTCACCAAATAGAGGTGTGAGGCATAGTTAAACTTCATTACGATGAACCTTACAACTCAGTATACTAATTCTGTAGTGTCCATAATTGCAAAAAGGTCACAATTTCTATGTCAGAAAAAGTATTTGGAAGCAATGATTTAAAACAAATTAACAATTATTTTTGGATAAAACCACAACTTTATGTCAATGTTTACTCATTTGAAAAACATTTCTTTCTTAAGTTTGGAGACTAATATGTCTAAAACCACCTTTTCTACATTTTCACTCTTAATTTTACTGACAGGTTTTTGTTTCACTGAGTCAATAAATGTTTTAAAATCCTATTGAGTTTTAATAACCATGGCATAATTTTTATCTCTCACTGAGTTACAATCCACTTAATAAGACACTCGTGACAGAAGCATGTCTGTTGAGAAAAGTGGAGACTGGACCAGATGTAGACTTTTTTTTTTGTGGTAGCTGGCACACCAAGCCAAGGTGTGGGATGAGGAGACAACCAGTGAAATATCTAAGACAGGCAGAAATGGTAAAGAATGAGAGGGATTAGTGAGGCCCTAACTTAATAAGACCCTGTCTCAAACAAAACAAAACACACATAAAAAAGGAAAACACCGGGGATGTAGCTTAGTGGTTAAGCACCCCTGGTTTCAATGCCTGGTACCAGTAAACAAAAACAAAAACAAAAAACCAAAGGGATCCCAGAATGAGTGGAGCCAGGAGTCACTGGTAGCTGGTGATCGAGGCAGCCGGGAACCTGGAGTCTTGATGCCATTCTGTCCTGTCATAGATGACCAGCCTAGTTGCTCTGTTTAGAGGGGGAAGATTTTGCTTTCAAAGCTTAGTAGAACAAGGTAGGAAAATCTTATATTCCTAAAATTAAAAGGAATTGTGGTTCTTGGGGTGAGATTCCCTTTTGTGGCATTTAAGGATGGCTTGCGGTTGAATTCGAACACTGTGGTCCTGCATTTCAGCTTTAACAGAGAGAACAGAAAGTCTGGAGCTCTTTTGGGCAATCTGCTGGGAGTCTGTACACTTTCTTTCCTGGCACCCCCACTGCATTGTCCATGGTCTGTGGTGTACGGCCTGCCATCACTATAGCACTCTGGCTCCTGTGGGATTCTCTGGTTACTGTGCAGCAACTTAACATGTGGGCAGTCCAGAGGTACCCAAGAATTTATCTCCATGGTGAAAACTTCAGGATTTGGTCCTGTTTCATTGTAGAAGATAGAAGAGTAAGGTATAAAGGGTATTTTGAACTGTTCTGATTAAAGTGTTATCTGAAAACAGCAAAATGAGGAAAGCTCCCTTCTTCATGGAGGATAGGACATAAAAGAAAGTTTCTTTAGAATGAAGAACTTCCAACATGATGTGTTCCTATGACTGCCCACCATCAGGAGTCCTGAGTTTTGCTTTTCTCCACCTCAGTGCATAGAGCAAGGCTTCCTTTCCAACCCTGGGTGTGTGGGGGAGGAGGGACAGCACACCTCAGATTTAATACTTATTTTGAACCTCTTTACCCAGTTATTGACTTCTATTTAGTTTTAAATATAATATAAATAACTTTGACCTATTAGGGCTATATTTACTGCCAATATTAACATTTAAAATACTTGAGATTGTACATAGTTTACTTAGTATATGATTAAATGTCATCAGTTATAAGTGAATTTAAAAAACAATTGAATGCTTAAGAAGAGAGTTTATATTTATATCCCTCTCCAAGCCTCCCTCTCCTTTGCCTCTCCTTTTTCCATACCCCCCTCACCTGTTATGGATCAGCATCAACTAATCAGAGAGAACATTCTTTGGTTTTTTGAGATTGGCTTACTTCACTTAGCATGATATTCTCCAACTCCATACATCTACCTGCAAATGCTATACTTTTATTCTCTTTTAATTCCATTGTGTATATATACCACAGTTTCATTATCCATTCATCTATTGAAGGGCATCTAGGTTGCTTCTACAGTGTATCTATTGTGAATTGAGATGCTATAAACATTGATGTGGCTGCATTACTATACTATGCTAATTTTAAGTCCTTTGGAGTGGGATAGCTGGGTTAAATGGTGGTTCTATTCCAAGTTTTCTAAGGAACCTCCATACTGCTTTCCATATTGGTTGCACCAGTTTGCAGTCCTACCAGAAAGCAATAAATGAATGTGCCTTTTCCCTCTCATCCTCACCAACACTTACTGTTGTCTGTATTTTTGATAATTCCCATTCTGACTAGAGTGAGATAAAATCTTAGAGTAGTTTTGATTTGCATTTTTCTAATTACTAGAGATGTTGAACAATTTTTCACATATTTGTTGATTGAATGTATATCATATTCTGAGAAGTGTCTGTTCAGCTCCTTAGCCCATTTATTAATATATTTTCCAGAAATATAGTTTGTTTGTTTTTTTGGTGTTTTTTGAGTTCTTTATATATCCTGGAGGTTAGAGCTCTGACTTGTGGGTGGCAAAATTTGCTCCCAAAATGTAGGCTCTCTCTTCACATGATTGTTTGTTTCTTTTGCTGAGAAGAAGCTTTTTAGTTTGAGTCCATCCCGTTTCTTAATTCTTGATTTTATTTATTGTGCTTTAGGAGTCTTGTTAAGGAAGTCAGGGCCTATATCGATGTGATGAAGATTTGGGCTTACTTTCTCCTCTATTAGGCAAAGGGTCTCTGGTCTAATTTCTAGGGCCTTGATCCACTTTGAGTTGAATTTTTTGTATGGTGAGAGATAGGGGTTTATTTTCATTTTGGTGCATATGGATTTCCAGTTTTCCCAGCACCATTTGTTTAAGAGACTATCTTTTCCCCAATGTGTGTTTTTGGCTAGTATAATTGTATTTATGTGGGTTTGTTTCTGTGTCTTCTATTCTGTACCATTGGTCTACATGTCTATTTTGGTGCCAATACCATGCTGTTTTGTTACTATAGCTTTTTAGTATAGTTCAATTTATGTATCTGAATGGATTTCTAAAATTTTGCCAGTCACTAAAGTGTGAAACGAGGTTCACATGACTATTTCATGAATATATTTAGTCCTTTTATGGCAACTTTGAAGAAGAAATTGAAAGACTAATTGGAGGCCACAAACATTGACTAACAGTCAAGAGAGCCAATAAACATATCCATGTGATATTTATAAACAAAGCAATATAAGTAGATATTGTCTATTCATAGGTGTATATGAATGATTATATATGTACTTACATGCGCTTTTATTTATACATATGTTCATTAGACTATGTTTATGAGGCTCTTCTTTTGGCACATAGGTTCACAGTATACAGATACATGATAAATTCATCAGAGATAGTCAACCCAAATCAAAACCTGTCCCTGATAAGAAAAATAAAAACCTGCTCTGTGGAAAGTGCAAAACCTTGGCATGTTACACGGCTGATGTACGCGTGGTAGAGGTAAGCAGCCTTTTTTATAAGAGCACCTGGTTGATTTTTAGCATAAGTTAAAACTTGATGAAATAGTTATGTTAAGATTACTATTTTTTTCTGCTATGGTTCATGTATTAAAAAATACAACATCTTGCTCATGTGGTAGCTATAACCGTTGATATAGTAGAGAGACTAGTGGTCATTGTGGGCTAGGAAGGGTAGTGAGGAGGAGCATAAGAGGCTAGATAACAGGTGCAAAGTATAGTCAGGAGGAATACATTCTGTTGTTCTGCAGTATAGTAGGGACAACAATTTATTAAATATTTCATAAATCTTTTTTACAACCAAGCAATGATAAAATGTTTTAAGGAGATGAAAATGCAAATTACCCTAATTTGATAATTATACATTGTACTCATGTGTTGAATTATCTCACTGTGCCCCATAAATACAGTTGTTGTGTGTCAAGGTAAAAATTACTGTCTTTTAAATATTATGAAGCTCTTCAGAATAATGGTTATGCTAAATGCAGTGTAGTCTCAAGTAGATCCTAGAATAAAGAATTTTAGTAGAAAATCTGTAGTTTAGCTAATAGCAATATACAGATATTAGTTTCTTAGTTTTATGGTTTGTAGTATGTTAGCATTTAGGGAAACTGGGGTCAAAGGTATACAAAGAATTTTCTAGGAATTTTCTTGCAACTTTTCTCTAAGTCTAAAATTATCCCAAAGTAGATTTTTATTTAGAAATACGATTATGAAGCTTATGTAGTATAATAAAAGTGGAAAAAATAAACTGGATACAAAACTATAAATATGCTATTTTAAAAAATCTGTTTTTAGTTGTCAATGGATCTTTATTTATTTATATGTGGTGCTGAGAATTGAACCCTTTGCTTCACAACGCTAGGCAAATGCTGTACCACTGAGCTACAACCCTAGCCCAATATGCTATTCTTATAGTTGCATGAAACAATAATACCATGGGGGGCGGGTACCTTTGTAAACGATATTAAAAGAAATATGCCAAAATGTTATATTCTGATGATGAAGTTCCGTGACTATTTTCTTCCTACGATTTTATTTTCTAAACTTTATGGGATATGGAACACTTTTCCAATGAAAACAAAATGTTCCTTTTCGAATGTGACACTTGCAAGTCGACCTTCTGTTTTTTTATTGTTGTTTTTTTCCTTATAAATAAAGGATTAGAAAAATCTCCAAAGACAGGGCTGGGGTTGTGACTCAGTGGTAGAGCACTTACAGAGCATGTGTGAGGCACATGGGTTTGAATCTCAGCATAGTATATAAATAAGTGAATAAAATAAAGATACATCAACAACTAAAAATATATATAAAAGTAATTTTTTAAAAAGTCTCCAAAGACAAACATTGAGTGTAACTTGCTGCTGATGGAGAGCACGTCGAGTGGCTGGGCTAGTCAGGTGACGAGTTACTACTTGAGAATTCCTTTTGGTCTTCAGAAAACTAAACCTCAGCAGCCCAACTGTTTGGGCGAGAAGCATATTATGAGTGATACTAAGTTCCCCTGCCTTTCTTTAGCTGTAAAAGGTCCTTTTAGCTTCAATTTTTTTTTGTGATTTTTTTTTTTCTTGACAATGGCCATTTTCGAGTTTATATTCCTGGAAGACTAGATGTTGGAGTTGCATTTGTTTCTGTGCAGTTTATTGTAAAGCTGACTGTATGAGTGGCCGATGGACATACCGTCCATGGTGTTCTCTGGCGCATACTGATCCTTTGCTGTTGTTCCATGTGTCCTTTGGATTGTGCCTGTCCTTTCATGGACCAATTTAACACTCCACAGATCTTCAACAACTATGTCTTTTGTTTCTGAACTCAGAATATGAACTTTTAGGGGGTAGGTTTCCTGGAAATTTCTTAATCTTCCTTTTCATGAGGTACCCAGTAGCATTTAATTTGAGGCCTAATGTGGCCTTCAGGTGATTCCTTTTCCAAACTGTGAAATAAGTGGGATTCCATCTGTTCTTCATCTCAGATTATTGTGGAGTATTTTATCTTAAATCACAATTACGGATTGCTTTTAACATTTTCTATATTGTTCCAACTATTCATCTTAGACATGCCATTACACTGTGGTTGGAGATGACTTTAAGGAACGCTTTGTGAGTAAACCACACCCCAGACCGAAGAGCTATGGGGGTTTTGAGAAGAAAGCAAAGATATTCTGTGCCAAAGAGAACTGCAGACATGACTGGGGAATCCACGTGAAGTATAAGGAATTTGAGATTCCAGTCATAAAAATTGAAAGTTTTGTAGTGGAAGATATTGCAACTGGAGTTCAAACACGGTACTCAAAGTGGAAAGATTTTCATTTTGAGAAGATACAGTTTGATGCTGCAGAATATCCAAATGACTTCAGAGCCTAAGTCTTTAGCTACAGGGAATGGTGAGTGAAGAAATTAACCCTGTGGGTAATCACCCATTGCTTGTGCCTCTATGAAGGTATTTTACACAAGGCTTATACTGTATTACACACTTTCAGTTAACTTCACTTTCTGTTGGTTTTGAACAGTTTGTAGTACATCGTATATGCAAAACACATGTGAGTGAATTCTCATACATTGCTGGTGGGACTGCAAATAGGCACAACCACTATGGAAAGCAGTATGGAGATTCCTCACAAAACTTGGAATAGAACCACCATTTGACGCAGCTATCCCACTCCTCAGTCTACACCCAAAGGACTGAAAATCAGCATACTACAGTGATGCAGCCACATCAATGTTTATAGCAGCTCAATTCATAACAGCTAACCTATGGAACCAACCTAGGTGTCCTTCAATAGATGAATGGATAAAGAAAATGTGATATATATATTCAATAGACTATTACTCAGCTTTAAAGAAGTATGAAATTATGGCATTTACAGTAAATGGATGGAGTTGGAGAATATCATGCTAAGCAAAATGAGCCAATCCTGAAAAACCAAAGGTCAAATGTTTTTCTCTAATATGCAGATGCTAATTCACATTAAGGTGGGGGGCACTAGAGAAGAACAGCATTACCTTAGATTAGGTAGAGGGAAGGGAAGGAAGGGAAGAGAAGGGGATGTGGGATAGCAAAGACAGTAGAACGAAACAGATATTATTATTTTATGTATATATGTGACTGCATGACCAATATGATTCTACAATATGTATACTCAGAAAAATGAGAAATTATATCCCATCTATGTATATCAAAGTGCATAAATGCATTATACTGTCATGTATAACTAATTAAAACAAAAAAATCTAAAACAAATTCGGTTCTATCCTTTTCAGAACCACTGCCAATGCATACAATGTACCAACGCCATACACACTGAGCTAAATAAATGAATGGGATGCTGAAAGGTTTTCCATACCCCTATCCCCATTTCCTTAACCACTGTAAACTGGCTTTTCCCCTTAATCTGCTGTTCTTTTCAAGGCTGCCAGTGACTCTGGTTGCCAAATCACATGGCCATTTCTTAGTCCTTTTGACTTCTTTGTTGCATTTGGCTGTCTTATTCTTTTCTTGAAAATTTCCCTTGGCTTCTGCCTTTCTATTTTTTTTATAAAAATAAAAGCATTTTTATTGCTTCTTCTTTGCTGATACCTTAAGTGTAGATGATTCCAAGGGTTCAGTATATACCTACACAAGTACAAGTTACATATCCTCATGTTTTCTTAATAGCAATGTGTGGCATGGTAATCATAAAATTCTATAGTAGTCCATTTTTTAGTGGTGAGGGCACATCAGGGATACAATGCTTCCTAAGAAGTTGTTTACTTGCTCATTTAATTTGTTCTCTTAACTCATGCCATTCTTCCTTTGGAATAGTCATCTCAAGCCATTTTTCATTAATAGAGATTGATGCTTAACACTTGGTTTATCTGTCCTCAGTCAAGCCCCTTGGTTGCTACTGTGAAAATGGTTCAATTTTGCTGTTCTTGTTACTTTAAAAAATTAGAATATGTACTCACATGGCATTCCTGTGTCTTTTAGCAAGGTTTTCTGATGCTTCAGAGAGCTTAGTTTGGGGTTTTCCAGACATGGTAACAGTGCCTGGGTTTATTTTATTTTTGTCTTGTGTTTAGTTCTGGGTAGGATCTATAGTAATTTAAGTATCACCCCAAAACAGATTCAGATTGGTTGGTTGTAGTTCATTACGACCATTAAATGACCTAAACAAAATTCCAGAGAGCACAAAAGGTTAGTAATATGTTCAGCACATGTGATGACATGACCTTTTCAAGTAAGACATATTTATATCTGAAGGCTATTTGGAAATTACCCAGATGAACCCTGGAGATTAATAGGATAACACATTACGGCAGCTTTACTTTACATTACGGCAGCTTTACTTTACATTTCAGCAGTAGTGCTGGCAAGTAGTCAAGTAAACTTGCCAGTTACATAGGCTCTTTGTAGAACAAGGATAACCCCAAACTGTCAGGGTTAGTGACAGCTTTTAATTAAAATATAAGAAAAGTACACGACACACACACATAATTAATTGCTTAACAATGGTTACTATAATAGTATTCTTAGATGCAATAAAAAGATTATTTAAAACAATTTGTTGAGAGCTGATTTTTTCATTTTTCACTATTAGGATCTTTATATGTAATTACTATTCTTCGCTATTACTATTTAGGAACTTCAACAGGATATATTAAATATCTACTAGAAATGTTATTCAGAAGAGAAAAATACTTTTAACATTTAATTTAGATGGAAGGCAAATAGTCCTCTCTTCAGACTAAAGCTGAAACAAAAACTTAGAATTTCCTCATTTGACTTTTATATGGAATCAAGCCATTGTCAGGCATAGACCTGAGAACAGAATAGGCACTTGGTTAATATGTATTGAATGAAGAAATAGGTCATTGCTGTCATTGGATTTCTTGATCAAAGGCTGCATTTGAGAGCCAACCAGGGAGTCTTTTTCATGGACATAATCCCAGTCCCCAATATAGTGTCCTAGCAGGGTGTCTAGCCATGTGTATTTCTGTAAGTTCTTCAGGTGGTTCAGATAAATGTGTTCTACCACCTTGTTATCTCCATGATTCTAGCTGGTGCTGACACTATGATGCTTTCACCCTGAAATGGAATCTTTCAAAGCCCTGATTGTGCAACAACGTCAGTAAACTGATTCCTGTACTTAAAACAGATTCTATATTAACTGAATTTCAAATAACAAAGCAGAAGCCAGTATTTCCTCGGGTGCATTCTGTGGAACACAGTGCCGTGAGATTCTCTGAAGAATGTATTCTACGGTCAGGTAGGTTTCTGTACCATTTGTTGCCACCCTTTCCCTCAGTGACCTACAACATACACTGTCATTGTCACTGTCAATTCTTTAATAATTAAGACCTATCTAACACTGTCTCCCAAATACACTGACTCTGAAACCATAATGTCACATATCAAGAAATAATGAAACTTGAGCAGGACAGTGGAATGTGAATTTCCATGCTCGTCCTCCCACAGAAACATCCATTTGAACAACTGTCCACACACAAAAACCCTGTCCTAAGAGCTAAGGCTACCAAGTGGGATATTTACATCACCTAGACGTGGCACAGAAGTACAGATGCACTGAAAAAGGTTAAGAAGTGCTTTACCTCACCTGTGCCACTTCTCCCTCAATCTTAGGCAGCATAGTGCGAGGTACCCTAAGCTTGGGGCTAGGGAAGGGAAGTGAGCACTGGCTTTGCCTTGGACTCCAACACTAGGCTTGCCAAAGCAAAACCCAGTGCGGGGCAGGGCTGTGTCCCAGACTCAAAGCTTGTCTGGTAGACTGTTTCTAGGCCCATTCCCATGCCATTCATTCTGGTTCCAGGCCCACCTCAGAGTCAGGCTGGCCCTAGCACCAGACTAGCATCATAACTGCATGTCTTAGCCCTGCTGACCTGCAGTGCTACACATGAGGCTGGCTCCAGCAGACCCTAGTGGGGACAAGCTGCACTCCAGGACTGACCCTGTGAACTCAGTTCCAGAACAGTCCTCATGGACCCAGTTTCCATGCCAACCCTGCCTAGTGATTTTAGGCATCAGGTCAGTACCCACAATTCCAGGCCTCACTCATATCCTGGCACTAGCCAATCCCTGTGGCTCAAGGCTCCAGTGGAGCCTGCATCTAGACCTACTTGAGAAAAATGGTGCAGATTCTAGGACTACCCCTGCAGATGTAGGGCTCAAGCCAGTCAGCATACTACAGTGATTGAGGCTCAAGGCTCACCCCAGGTCCAGGTTAGCTCCTGTGGACAGAGGCCAGTTCTTGCAGTCCAGTGGACCCACACTTTGAATCCAACCTGACTCATCTACCTGCTGATCTAGATACCAGGCTAATCAGCCAAGGACTCCAGTAGCAATCCCACCCACAGACCACTCCAGATAGCCTACCCAGAATCTCTAAATGGGTTAACCAGTGAAGGGCTTTCCCACTCAAAGCCTGCCCACAAAACTAGAATAAGACCTTTTTGAAATGTGCAGATACCAAGGCATGGCTATAAGGATTAAGAACAATTAGGGAAACAGAAGCCCACCAAAGAACAAAATAAAGCCAATCAATGACATCACGAGACTGGAGATTTATGATCTGTCTGATAAATAATTCAAAATGACTGTTTTAAGGAAGCTTGGCAAACTTCAAGAAAACAGACAATTCAATGGGATCAGGAAGACTGTAATAAATGACTAAAATGAGAATTTTAAGATATTGCATTTTTTTTTTTTTTTTTTTAGAAAATCAAATTCTAGAGATGAAAACATGATGAATGAAAAGCACAATAGTGTCCATAGCAAGGACAACCAGCAGAAGGAACACCTGTGAACCTGAAGATGGGTTATTTGAAAATATATAGAAGAAAGAAAAATTAAATGAACAAAAAGAAAACTTATGGGATTTATGTGACAGTATCAAAAGAAACATTTAAGTTATAAGAATTCAAAAAGAATGCAGAAAACTCCAAATCTGGGGAAAGACACAAAAATATAGGTCTCCAATCAGATTCAGTCCAAACAAGAAAACACCAAGGCATTATAATTAAACTGTTAAAAGTCAAAGACAAAGAAGAGCCTGTAAAAGGGAAGCAAAGCATATATAAGGGAGTTCCGCTAAAGCTAGCAGCAGATTTTTTTCAACATATAATTGAAAGTTCTGGGGAGAAAAAGAAGGGAAAAAAAAAAATAAAACCAAAATCAACCGAACCAAAAAACCCCCAAGAATATTTACCTGGCAAAACTCTCCTTCAGACAAAAATTAAGGAAGTTCATTTAAAGAACATCAGTTCTTCTCAACAATTTCAAAAAACTGAAGAGGAAGTACTTCCAAACTCATTTTATGAGCCTAGCTAGCATTATCCTAATACCAAAGGCAGACAAGGATACTGTAAGAAAATTATAGGCACATAAACATATATGCAAAAAATTTTTAACAAACTAAATAGTATGTTCAGAGAACTCTTCATGTTGAAGTAGGTAGGATACATCCCTTGGTTGCCAGAATAGTTCAGCATACTCCAGTGTATGTACTATATTAACAAAAGGGACAAAAGCCATAAAATCACCTCACTAGAGGTTTAAAAAACTGACAAAATTCAATATTCTTTCATGAGAAAAATTCTGAAGAAATTAGGATTGAAGTAATTTACCTCATTCAGGCCATATCTGACAAACACACAGATGACATCATACTCAATGGGGAAAAGTTGAAAGCTTTTCCTCTCAGGAAGAAGACAAAAGATGTCAACTCTTATCATTTGTATTCAATGCAGCACTGAAAGTCATAGAGCAATTAGGTCAGAGAAATAAAAGGCATCTAAATTATAAAGAAAAAAATTGTCTGCAGATAACATGATTTTATATGTGGAAAATGCTAAAAACTCCATGTTAAAAAAAAAACTTAAAATAAACAAATTCAGTAAAGCTGCAGGATACAAAAAAATCACCATAAAAATTAGTAGTATTTCTACAAATTAAAAATGAACTATCTATAAAAAGGAGTAAACCATTCTATATGTAACAGGTACAAAATAGTGCTTAGAAATACTTATACACCAAAAACAAACACTAATGAAAGAACTGAAGATGGTATCAAAAAATGAAAAGATATCCCATGTTCTTTCAGTGGAACAATTAATGTTAAAATGTTCACACTATCCAAAGCAATCTACAGATTCACTGCAATTCCTATCAAATTTCCAATGCTTTTCACAGAAATGAAAACAAGTCTGAAATTTATAGGGAATCACAAAAAACTCCATATAGTCATTCAAACTTGAACAAAAAGAAGAAAACAGAGGGAATTACCTTGTCTGCCTTCAAAATACACTACAAAGCTACAGCAATCAAAATAGCATAGTACTGGCATAAAAACAGACCATTGGAAAAGAAGAGACACCCAAGAAATGAAGCCACTCATGTATGGCCAATTGATTCCTGACAAAGGAGACAGGAACACATGATGGCAAACAGACAGTTTCTTCAATAATGGTGTTGGGAAAACAGGATAGCTACATGAAAAAGAATGACATTAAACCCTTATTTCATACCACGTATAAAAATCAACTTGAGATGGATTAAAAACTTCAACATAAGACCTGACATTGTAGATCATAATAGATGAAAACACAGAGGAAAAACTCCATGACATTGGTCTAGGCAATGATTTTTTTTTATATGACCCCAAAGCAAAAGCAACAAAATTTAAAAGAGACAAACAGGACTGCATCAAAATTAAAAAGCTTCTGCAGCCAGGCAAACAGTAAAAAGACAACCTACAGAACAAGAGGAAATTTGTGCAAACCATACATTTGATAAGTGGTTAATAACCAGAATATATAAAGAATTATAACTCAATAACAAAAAAACCAAGTAATTAAAAAATGAGCAAAGGACCTGAATAAGCATTTCTCAAAAGCAGCACATAAATGGCCATTGTGGAAAAGAAAAAATGCTTAACAATATTATCAGGGAACTTAAAATCAAAACTACAAGATGGCCACTCCAGACCTGTTACAATGGTCATCAACACTTACCTTTCATCAAAAAGATGAAAGGTAAGTGTTGGTGAGGATGTGGAGGAAAGGGAACACTGCACACTGTTGATAGGAATTTAAATTAGCATAGCCATTATGGGAAACTTTATGGAGACCTCAAAAAGCTAAAATGATCACTATATGATCCAGCAATCCCATTTCTGGGAATATATCCAAAGAAAATTAAATCAGTATGTTCAAGAGATATCTATGCTCCTGTATTTACTGCAGCATTATTCACGTTAGACACAATATGGAATCAGTCAAAGTACCCATCAATGAATGAATGGAGAAAGAAAATGTGATATGTATTCATATACATACATAATGAATGCTATTCAACTTGAAAAAATAAAATCTTATAACTTGTAACAATATGGATGGACCTGGACGATACTATGTTAAGTTAAATAAGTCAGTACAGCAAGATAAGTACCACATGATCTTTCTTATGTATGGAATCTAATGTTAAATTCAAAGAAGTAAAGAATAGAAAGGTAATTAACAAGGGTAGTCAGATGTCAAAGGATACAAAATTTCATTTGGGAGGAATAAGTTCAAAAGCTCCATTGTACAACATGGTGATCATAGTTAATATATTCTTGGAAATCACTAAGTATTATCACTACAAAAAATATGCAAGGCAATACATAGGTTAATAAGCTCTATTTAGCCATTCTACAATGTTTATGCATTTTTAAAACATATATAATAAACATAATTTTCACTTGTCAATTAAAACAAAGAAAAAAAATTCAAAACACATTCCACTTTAATCAATAACAGAAGCACTGGCTGGATTGGAGCCAAGGCTCAGCTCTTTAGCTCTCTGGTTCTCACGAGATAGGGAACCCCAAAGGCACAGGTGAGCAGGCCCACAGCATGAGAGGGTAAGAGGCAGCAGGCTGGCTTCCAGAGGGGGGAGAGAGAAAGAGAACAGTCAGGGAGGGAATTAAAGAAATTTACACCTGATCTACAAATTGCTAAGATTTGGAAGTCCCATACATTCCAGATGTTAACTGTCAGCCATTTAGAAAATCAGCTTTGAAATCTTGGCACTTCTATATATTAGACTTGTAAATTATTATTTAACCTCCCTGATAACTACAGTGGAACCACTAATACTTTTCCTATATTGCTAACATTATATTAAAATGTGAACTTATTACAAGATTAACTATAAGGTACCTTGTCATGAACTGAATGTTTGTGTCCTCCCAAAATTCATATGTTGAAGCCCTAACCCCAATGGTAGTGTGGAAATAGCAACTCTTAAGAAAAATAATTTAGACTTAATTAATATTAAATGAGGTCATAAGGATGGGACTGTTATCCTATATAATTAGTGTTCTTCTAAAACACCAGAAAGACAATCCTCTCCCTTTCCTTCTTCTGGTGCATATCAAGGAAAAGTCACCTATAAGTCTTGACCTACAAGGTCAAGAGAATGCTCACCACAAACTGAAGGAGGTAGAATCTTGATTTCCCAGGTTTCAGAACTGCAAGAATATCAATTTCTGCTGATTGTCACTCAGTCTGTAGTATTTTGTTATGGCTGCCCATGCAGACTAAGACATGCCCTGAAATGGATTTAGTGATACAAATGAGCAAATAAACACTAAAGCTAATCTGCCCACTATTCTCAACATCCTTGCTACTGCTACCAGGTACCAGGCTACTCTTCCTTCATCTGCTGCTCCCAAACAGGGCAGGAAATGTAGTAGTTCCTCAACACTTCTTCTGTATCTGCACAGTCCAGAGGTATGTTTAGAAATAGGAGAACATGAAAGTCATTCAGACTTCAGGATGAAAGTGCTTTAAATATTGTAAAACTGGATTTCAAAGTCAACAAATTTTCCATGAAAATATATTTAATCTTATTCAAATCAGAAATGTTCTATGTCTCCCAATCCATCTCCAAACAAAAGTCTCCTTGACAGATAAAATGTTTCCTGGGGAAAATTTCTGAACATAATAAAGAAAAATTTTTACTGTTATGTGGATCCATCAAAAGGTACATCATCAAAAAATTCAACGTTTGACCTGACCATGAGGCATCTGGATTACTCACTCTGAAGGGGGATCACAATCACTACCATGATTTGAAGGGTGAAAAAGTTCTTACCTACCTATGCCAATTAACACTGGTATAAATTGCAAAGGAACAGAACCCTTAAGAGAAGGGTTTCACTGATCAGAGGAAAACAGAAGAGCAAGGGAAGGGTAGGAGGGAAAACAGGGTAGGAGACATCTTCCGAGAAGACTTGCTAGGGCTTAGCTGAAAATTAATAGGGAAGAGTGAAAACAAATCAATGTCACTGATTTAAAGACAGGTTCTCTTTCTGCGTTACTGATCTTCCCATGATTACAGCGTCCAAATTCTAGAAAAAGATTCAAAGATTAACAATAACAGAGAATGTAGAAACTTTTGGCTTTGTGCCTCCAGGAATGGCACCCAAAATGCAGTGTTTACTTGCTGTCTGCAAGGAAGTTTCTCCACTAGGGCCCCAGCTGGCTGGGATCCCATGGGGTGCAACACCTAGTGCGGATCTTCTAAGAAACAAGGGCCTGCCTGGCCATCTTGCGTATCATGTAGTTGAGGATGCCTCCGTTGTGGAAATAAGTAAGCTCCACATCAGTGTCGAACCTCATGACAGCCTGGAAGGTCTTTCCAGTATCCAGCTATAATGAAAAAGAAGCAGAGAAGAATCGCTGAGGAAGAAGGTGAGACACCTGTCTTGGGGATTCTGTCCAGTCTCCCCTTAGTCTCCCACTTAAGGTGTGGTTCACATTCCGGTGCATTTAGGAACAGATGGTCTCTTCCCCCATCCTGGACAGTGATCAGAATCTGCATTTTGACAAGACCCTGGGAGATTGCTCTGTCCACTAAACTTTGAGAAGCACTGCACTGAAGAGTATAAATGATGGAAGTGAGAGGCAACTGAGAACTAGAATAGCTTCTAAGGGCTGTAGCCACTAGTGACAATGGAATGATATTTTCTAAACCTTCTTTGGGGTCTTCTTGTGGACAGAAGTGTCTCAGCATCAGAGGTTTCACTGAGGTTGTCCTTTACTACCTCTCTCCTACCAGGGTGCTAAGTCACCCTGGGATGTTGGTGCTGGCACTTCACCCTTATCTAGAGAGGTAGGATTGGAACCGATGAATCATTCTATAAACAGAAATAAACAATATATCAATAGGTATTATCCTTGGTATGCTGTGAAGGCAGGTGGGAAAGGTGTCAGCAGGACTCTGAGTCTAATGCAGTCCTGACTGACTTTCATTTTTCCCTCTCAAATCCCATTCATTTCCTTCGCTGGGCGTGGTGGCACATGCCTGTAATCCCATCAGCTTGGGAAGTGGAGGCAGGACGATGGCAAGTTCAAAGCCAGCCTCAGCAAAAGTGAGGCACTAAGCAACTCAGTGAGACCCTGTCTCTAAATAAAATACAAAATAGGGCTGAGGATGTAGCTTAGTGGTCAAATGCCTGAGTTCAATACTGGGTACCTCCCAACCCCGCAAAAGAAAATTGTCTAAAAGGGCCCTTCAAAATGCATCCTAGTGTAGAGAAGGTCCGGCTTACCTTAACCTGGACTTTCATTTGTGGTTTGAGGTTCTCTGGAATGACAATAGTGTATCGTTCCCGTCCTGTGAGTCCCAGGGTGTCTGCATTCTCACCAGGGAGATATTCAAGGGGGATCACCCCCATTCCAACCAAATTACTGCGGTGAATGCGCTCATAACTCTCAGCTAAAACAGCTTTGATTCCCTGATGAACAAAGAGAATAAGTTGGACACAGTCCCAATTTTTTTTTTTTTAGGCATACAGAAACTTTTCAAAATGCTTAAGTCAAACTGTTCTCACAGCTAAATTCTCTCTAAATACTTGATAATATTTCACTTAAAATATCCTAACATTAATTAGAAATATAGTAGCAAGTCTTACCAGATTACCTATAGTGTAAGCACTGACATGAATTCTCTCATTCCACCCTCCACCAAATGGGACACAGCAGATGCTACCATTACCATTCTGCCCCTTTACCAGGTATTCAGTGTTGGGATCTGGTATTTGAACCTATGTGGTCTGACTCTGCACTCAGCCACTCTGAGATCCAAGATCTCTTAGCAAACTTCCATTATATCCAGAACTCATACCATGAATCAACATAAAGAAAATTCATTCCCTGAATTTTTCTATTATTATAGGTTTATCAGCAAACATAGAAGGTTTAACCAAAAAAGAAACTTTCTGAATATATTATGAAATAAATGATTACTACTTGTATACTTCCTGTTTCAAGGATGAAACTGATTGAATACAGTCTTGATATTAAGCTTCCTATAAAGGACATTTTTTTTGATAAAGTGTAATTGGTCGTACGTATATAGCAATAGTCAATAAAACAGGGTACCTGACTACCTAGAATTCTCCATTAATTATTAATAGTTGATGTTAATTATAATATTGAGGTACTCTAAAAGGTACCTTGGTATCTAGAGCACACCTTTGAGACACCACAGACTGAGTGACAATCAGCAGAAATTGATATTCTTACAGTTCTAGCTCCTTCAGTTTGTGGTGAGCACTCTCTTGACCTTGTAGGTCAAGACTTACAGGTGAATTTTCCTTGACATGCACCAGAAGAAGGAGAGGGAGAGGACTGTCTTTCTGTTGTAATTGTATAGGATAACAGTCTCATCCTTAAGACTTCAATTTAATATTAATTAAGTTTAAACATTTTCTTAAGAGTTGCTATTTCCATACTACCATGGGGGATTAGGGCTTTAATCAAATATATCATACTTAGGGAGTTTATTAAAAATTTTTATTATAAAAAATTAAATATTCTTGAATATTTACCCAGGTCTACTGAATCAGAATGTCTTGTATATGGTGGGAGGAACCAGTGACTTTTATGTGCTGGAGAACCATGGCCCTAGAACAGTAGTTCTCCATTTGATTTCTTCCCCATTCGTGAAAAATCCAGGGGGATCTTAATAATCTGATATAGTCAGAAGCATCATTCAGAAATCTCCATTTAATTTTTTTTTCCCCAAAAACAGTGGTTCTCAAACTCTTTGTATATCAATCTCCAGGGAAGACTTTTAAAATCTAGTGTCCAGGACTTTGTCCTTACCAATTAAACTAGAATCTCTGGGGATGAATGTAAGACCAGACCAGGTGTTTTTTTTTTTTTTTCTTTTTTTAATATTTTCTTTAGTTGTTGAAGGATCTTCGTTTTATTCATTTATTTATATGTGGTGCTGAGAATTAAACTCAGGGCCCCACACGTTCGTTAGGCAAGTGCTCTACTACTGAGCCACACACAATCCCAGTACCTGTTTTTTTTTTTTTTTTTAAAAAAAAAGATTACAGATGTCTCCAATTTGAGAATCACTACCACAGAGGAAGGAAAGATTCTTTGGGGCAGTAGTTATTTTGTAGAGATTTTTGTACATTTGTATTTATTCTGGGGAAGAGGAAAGCCTTCTAAATACAAGGAGTCATGTCTCTAGCTCTGTGTAAATGGCTGTGCAGCAGGCACAGAGTTGGCAGCCATATGAGTGGCCCAGTTCGGACAGCGAGGACTCAGAGAAGTAGAGACTTTGGTATCCCTTTGATGCTTTTATTCTCTTTTTATCCCTCTTCCCCACTTGTCTTCACTGCCCAGTTCTCATTTCTGCCATCAGCTCTCAACTCCCTCCCTAAAGTCTTTTTCTTTTTATAAAATTTATCTGGTTCATTTTAGCAGTTTCCAGCAAAGTCAGGCCTCTGACCTATTACCAACTAATCAGAAAACATTATTTTTTTCCCCTTAGAGCAAAATGATCAATAAAATAATAGGTGTGATGTTGGAAGACATTTGCAGAGGCCAGGCTAGCTAGAGGGCTGCTAGGCAGCCAGAGCTTTTTACAGTACTGTGGATATTGACTTGTATTTTCCAAGTGCATTGATTTTCTTGAGCTATAAATTATTTAAATTAAGGTGAGCTAAGACATTTTTACTTTATCCTTAGGATTAAAGCCAGTAACACGGTTTTCCCCTGATTTCAGATCAAGAAAATACTCAAGAGGGAAAAGCTCTCTGCTTGGCCCACCCTATGGGGACACCTCAAACAGGGTGAACCCTGAATCTGCAGAAGGCTCTAGAGAGCTCTTTTCTCACTGAGATGAGAAGCAGACTTTCATAGGCAGTGAAAAACAACTTTAAAATGTACACACTCCTAGTTTTTCCAAGAGACCTGGAGCCTGTTCTTGTCAAATCAACTTCTGAAAAAGCCCAGGTTCCTTAACATTTCCCTTCTGTGAGCCTTACAATATCTGTGGCTTATTCCTTACATTCATCTGGGACAGTGGCCTTAAATAGATTTTGGGTCCCCAAGCTCTGAGACTGTTATGAAAACCATAGAACTTTTCCCTAAAAAAATACAATCTGGATATAATGACTTAACAAACCTCCTCCCATTGATCTGTAGACAATGAATGTCTGACTTAAGGAAACCAGTTCAACTTTGTAATATTACTTTTCACTGAGCAAAATAAATCTAGATACACCAAAAGCAGAAGGTAAATAACCATTACATGTTTTCAGAGCTTACTCTTCCATGCCATCTTGGAAAGCAAAGCAACAGAATTTTTGCTTGGGCACCTTCCCAGCTTCTCTTCCAGTTTGGAGGGGCAGCTACTTCCTTGAATGTCTCTGCTTTATACTCACCAGCAGGAAAGGGCCCTTGGCAGCCCAGTCTCGGGAGCTACCTGAGCCATACTCTTTGCCAGCCAGAACAATTAGGGGAAGGCCTGCTTGTTGATAACGCTCAGCAGCATCAAATACATCAAGCTGAAAGAGAGAAAAGGAAAGTTTTACAGATGCAAAAGAGGCAAAAAGCATGGTTACAGGCCTAGTAAGCCCTGCACAGGGTCAGAGGGGTCTGTGAGAGCCAGGTCATAGAGCCAGTGCAGAACTCAAACAACTGGCTGTTCGGACTATAGCCCCCAATGAACTCAACCTATTTATTTCTATCAAACTGAATTTTATATTTTTGACTGAAATGCCTACATGTTGTCCAGTTTTCTAAAAAAAAAAAAAATTCAAATCCTAGGGCATGGGGTGGGGGGGAAGAAAACTAGATCAGATTTTCTTCCCCTTTTTCCATCGACTAAACTATCTAAAAACTCAAAAACCAGAGAATACCACCTATGCCTCAGTTTTGACTCAGTATCAGACCCAGAACTAATTAGTTATGAAGGGGAGAAAACAGTAGGTAACAGGCTCTATAAATCACATAAAATGCCAATTTTTGTTATTTTCTACTTGTAGGCCATGGGTAGAGATAGCATAAATATGGATGAAAGCATGAATCAATAAAGATCAGGGAAGGATTAGCTACATTCATACATGAGAAATATCTTAAACAGATTTGTTTCTCACAGCAATCTGAATATTCTGCTAAGATGAGACTTCACCAAGACATTTGGTATTACTATTGGTAACCAAGTAATGAAACAATTATTTTTCCTAGCTATGTAAGTCAGAAAATAAAATCCCTTAAAATGGAATGTATATCATTTCAAAGAAGCTCAAGACAAGCATTTAAAACTCTGAATAGGCTTTCCACAAATTAACTTGGTGGACTGATAAGAGTTAATTTTAAATCTGGGAAGATCCTATATATCTTCAACTGAAGAGAACTCATGAACATATAACCTGTTACAAAAGCACTAAATGCCTTCTTCTGTTTGGTCAGGATCCTTTCAGAGACCAGGAAGAAACAACCTACTATTTTCAGAGATATTAGTTTTGCATATTAAGAATGTGTTTTAAGAAGTGTCTGTTTAAAAAGTGCTTTTGAAACTAGAGAAAATGGGCAGGGAGATAGCTCAGTACTATAGCACTTGCCTAGCATGCATGAGGATTAGGGTTCAAACCTATCACTACATTTAAAAAACAAAAAACAAAACCAAATCCCCAAAAAACACCTATAGCAAAACTGAGGATTCCATGGAAAAACAGTTCGTGTTACCCAAGAGCAGAGGGATTATGCAGGTCTGGAATTCGGGTACCCTGATGCTCCATCTTCCATGTACTCTCCCTTCTCGTCTAAACAAGAAATATGCCATTTCTTCTGTTACTGTGCTGTCTCTGCTTACTGTTTAAACTGCTAGTTCTTGTTTCTCCATCTGTCAGTTCCCTACTTTGCTCAAGAGGATTTAGTTCTCTTTACCACTGCCCTTGCCAATACACAACCTCTCACTATAGTTATGCCATAAATTTTGATAAGCAAATATTTGTTGTGTACATTATTATGATTATACAAATTCTGTTTGCAGCTGAGCCATGTAATGTACTATGATTTCTTCTTGGCAATTTTGACAACATTTCTACTGCAATTAGTCATTTTCCCTTTTTGGTGTGTTCAACCTGTATCTATACTCCTACCCATTAACTAATCCTTAAACACTCAGCCTACAGCACAAACCATCTTTAATATATTGAAATATATCAGGCAATCTATCATTTTAAAATGTCACGGTGGCACCACTCCTGGAGCCCTTGGTCTGTACTAATCTGGACTGACTGCTCTGGATGCTCAGTGCATTCCTGTGATAGATAAGCTTCTTTCCCCACCATCCAAGGGATTCTCTTCGGCCCTTTTTCTTGGATCTTGCATTCCTCCCCCTCCCTCCCCATTTTGGTGGAACACATTCAGCAGGCAGCTTCCAGAGAGAAGGACTGAGGGATATCTTTTAAGCTTTTGGATCTCTGAATATGTTATTGCCCTCAATGCACTTGGCTGGCAATAATTATTTTCCTCCATCTAAGCTTCCAGTATTGCTATTTAGCAGCCTAGAGCACTTCTGATCCCATCATTGCATGTAAGCTGTTTTTCCCTTTCCAGAAGTTTCTAGACTTTTCCTTATCTCCGTTTTCTTGATTTCACAATGATGTGAATTAGAGTGGGTCTCTGTAAAGCACTGGTTAAGTATTCAGTGAATTTTTCAATCTGGATCCTCAGATGCTTTAGTTGGGGAAAGTTCTTTATTGTGTTATTACTCTGATAATTTCCTTCTATCTTGTTTGTTTTCTTTTTAGTACCTATACTTAGTCAAATGTTGGGCCTCCAGAGTTCAGTTCTTAGTTTTCTTCCATCTTCTAATTTTCTCTTTGTCATTCTGTTCTATATTCCAGGAGACTTTCTAAATTTATCTTTTCCTCTGAATTTTTTGAGTGACTGTTTTGTTTTTAATTCATTTCTCTGAAGAGGTGATTCTTTTTCTTAAAGTTTTCTATCTTTTGCAAGGTCTCTGTCCCCCTACAGCACCCTTCTTTGTATAGGTTGGTTTTTCAAGTTCAAATCTTGGTTCAAATGTCTGCTCTTCCCTGATTATTTGTCCTTATTTGAAATGAGGCACTAAGCATCTGACTAGAAGTCAGTCCTACATCATGATAGAGTTACTCTGACATATTTTATTGTCCCTGCTCCCATCTTTCCCCTTAGTCTCTTGGGTATTCCATCATTTGTATCTACCTTTTCCATGTGATAGTTTATGATCCCTGCCACTCATTAAACAAGCATCTGCTGGGCTTGTCCTGGTGAGGACCCAATTATCTCAAAACAAAGCACTTGCCTGACAAAATATAGTCAGTTGTGAGTATAGAAGCATGTGGGGAAGTCAAGGGCACTGACTTTAGAGCCAATCCTTGAGTTTTAATCTCTAATTTTTTTTCCCACTGCAACCTTAGAGAGACTTATTTGACCTCTCTATGCTCAGGTTTTCAACTTAAGTACAGATAATTATTACATCTGCCTTAAGGGGTTGTGAGAGCTAAATAAGTCCATATATGGAAAGGCTTATAAGAATACCTGTAATATAGCAAGTTGTGTAGAAATCTTGGCTGCTATTATTTTTAAATAAGTTGGCAAGGTTATTTCTCAAGCAGGCTAAACAGTTTACAAGCAGTTTCTCAGCATTCCCTAGGAAGGGGAGTGACACTGAGGACCTACATCCTGTGGCAGACACTATGCCAGGTTTTACACATCATTCCATTTCATTTTAAGCCTCAAAGTCGTATGAAATAGGTATGATTTCTACTTCACAGGTAAGAAAAGAGAAACTCAGAGAAGGAAACCACCCACCAAAGGATCCACATCTCATATGAGGTGGTGCAGGACTTAAGCCCAGCTTCACATGGTTCAAGGTACAGGTTTCCCAGCTGCTCACAGGACCCACATTGTAACACAAGCCTAGCTGGAATATACCAACTTCAAATGGCTTCCCTGAGAACTCAGGCCTATAAGGGCCTCTGTATTCTCCTTGTTCTAGTAGATATAGTGCATTAAATGCTAATAAGTCATACCGTAACCCTTCTTGAGAAAAATATTCTCTAACCTGAAATTTTCCCAATATATAATTGGATGAAATTTCACTCAAACTTTCAACTCCCTGGAAGTAAGACTTGGTTAAACCACAGTGCAGAATCTCTTAGGTAAAAATTTCTATCAGTGATGAACTCCACACATATGGGCACATGGAAAGAGGAACTGTAGGAAGCCAGAGGTAGAATAGAGTTGGAAAACAAAAATGAAACCTAAAGGAAAGTCACTGTAAATAACCAGCCTCCAAGAGCCCAAAAAACACAGGTTTCTGAAGGAAGCAGAAGAGAGGATACTCACAGTTTCTCCAGAAGGAAGATGTATAGTCTGTGGTGCCTGCTTGTTCAAAAATTTGTTTAACAAGCGAATGTTGGCAAAGGTTCCCCGTGCCATGATGGCATCATTCCCTCGGCGGGAGCCATAGGAATTAAAGTCTCGAGGAGTTAGGCTAATAATGCAAGCAGAATAGGAGCTAGTTTAGTGAAGTTAGCCAAGATTAAACTTAGCTTACACCAGAAAAGAAAAACACCATAAACCTGCCATTTCTCTAAGTCTACTAAGGTGTTCTCCAAGGCAGAAGAGCTATTGTTATAGCTTCAACTAGGGGCAGAGTGACAAGTCAGGTGGAGAAGGGCAGGAATCAATATTCACCTTGGGTCAACTCGGTACATTTTATATTTGGATAGAAAAATCAGGAGGAATTCTAAAAAGAGTATTTATTACTCAGTTGGGTAGCTTATAAAGTTTCACATAACATAAAACAGCTAACTTAAAATTAAGAAAATAGAAATAAGAGAATAATCAGTGTAGATCAGTCTGATGGAGTCAAAGATGGGAGACAACAAAATACATTCCATAAACCAACCAGAAGTAAATTCAAATGCATACTCACGTTATGAGGAACTCAATGCAAAAAGAAGCCACACATTGGCAACATAATTTACAACTTTCATAATATAAAAAATCAAAGCAGTGCCAAAGAGGCAGAACATCTATTTCTGGTCCCAGAACCAGAGAAATATCCTATTTGTGGGAACCAACAAAAGAAAACTGTGTTGTCAAGAACATTATCTTACAATTAATATAGTGAACAGTTCACCAGCTTGTTCTTTAAAATACAAGGGGGTGGCTGGGCATGGTGAAGCAAACCTGTAATCCCAGTGGTTCTGGAGACTGAGGCAAGAGGGTCACAAGTTCAAAGCCAGCCTTAGCAATGTAGCAAGGCCCTAAAAAATGTAGCAAGACCTTGTCTCAAAGTAAAAAATGAGAAGGGCTAAGGATGTGGCTCGGTGGTTAAGTGTCCCTGGGTTCAATCCCCAGTACCAAAACAAAACACAAAAACAAAAACAAAAAACACCAACCAAGGGATGGGTGTGAGTATTAACTTGATTTATGGTTACAGATTCATTTTATGACTGGGTGTCAAGAGCAGGCAAACATGCCTATGAATCCCTGAAATCCTATTCAAAATGCTTGCTTCCTTTCAGCTCACGAAGGATTCCTTATGTCAAACGAGGTCAAGAATCACCACTAGAGAAAAAGTGAGTGGATTCTATTACTCAAATTTGCTCTGGGCCCCATCCCTGAAAGAGTTGATTCTGGAGGAAGGGACAAGAACCAGTAATTCTCATTTCCCCTTATAACTCTCATAGTCAGATTTGGGAACCACTGACTTCAGTTAATATCAGTATATTAGATAATAGGCAATATTGATATACTCCCTGTGAATATCAGTATATGTCTAAAGAACTGATGAATGGATGAATGAACTGCAAATTCCTGAAGCAGTTCTGTGTTTACAAAGAACCACTGCTATAAAGACATGGCAAAGGCATTTTGGGTTATATCACTGTGGGCCTGAAGCATAAGCTACATCCACCACTAGATAACAGATGAGCCTAACTTACACACTTGCTCAAAAAGAAGACTGTTTTCCCCTCCCATTGCTGGGATTCCTGCGCTATGAACAAACAGAAAAAGTGACTGATTTTTGAATTCCAGAGTTCAGTGAAAAACCAGACTCTGGTTCCACAGAGACCATGTAACGAGAAACACTGGCCCTCTTCATTTCATTTATTCTACTTTGGCCTTTAGTCTTTTCCACCTCACTCATACTTACCCTCTATTAGTTAAGTAACGAGCAGCAGGGCTATTTCTTGCAATATTTCCAGCTGGAGAGATGTGGTCAGTTGTTATCGAATCTCCCAAATTTAATAGAACGTAGGCATCCACTATAGATTTAGGGGGCTGAAGATCCAAAGTCTAGTAAAGAATAGAACAAGTCTGTATTTACCCAGGTTTTCTCAAAAAGTCACTAGGTGAGACTCAATAGTAGGAGTCCATGAAACTGGACCAGATGACACTGCTATATAAATGGATAGAATAGCTTAGTTTTCTGGGTTTAAGCAAGGGTGCTTAGAAAAAGTAATGTGAACTTACTAAAAACATTCATATCTCAACCTCAAGAGAAGGCCAAGTATTGGCATGTCTGGCCAAAAGAGACATGAATGCAGCTGCAAATGACATTCATTCTTCTCCATAGAACTCAATTACCAAGGATAACTAGAATCCCAATTTCTCCTTTCCCCTTCCACAGTGACCATCGAGGAAAGGGGTGGGGTGGGGGTAAGATTTTAAACGTGGTAGGTCCTGGGGATGTTCTTTCGAAACAGCCCCTCAGACTTTGCAGGCCCTTATCCTAGTGGCAGCTATCATCATGATGCCTCTGCAGAGCCACACAGAGAAACTATCACTACAGCTAAGTAGCTGACTCCTAAAACATTCCCCAGCTTTATCTGCTTGAATATACAAAGGTGTTTTTTTTTTTTCTTTTTTTGGTGCCAAGGATTGAACCCAGGGGCACTCAACAACTGAGCCATATTCCTGGCCCTTTTCATTTTTTATTTTGAGGCAGGGTCTTACTAAATTGCTTAAGGCTTTGTTAATTGCTGAGGCTTTGAACTTAAAATCCTCCTGTCTCAGCCTCCCAAGCCACTGGGATTACAGGCATGTGCCACTGTGTACAGCATGAATGTACAAAGGTTTTAATGAAATGGATAGTCAAAGCAAAGGTATGGAATAATAAAGTGGATTTTATAAGGATAATAAAGTAGATTTTATAAGGATAGAAACTTCTTAAAGAACTTGTTTTGTTAAAAAATAAAAAGTCATACCAGATTTTCAAAGAATGGTGGTGATTTAATATATGTAGATTTGGGATTCCAGAAGTACAGCTTATCTGATGGAGCTCCTAAAGCATTCCAGCTTTCATTCACAGTCTTTAAAAAAAAAAAATCTAATCATAATCTATTCCAGGGAAAATTTAAATATGCAAACACAAAACATTCAAGCTAAGAGGTACAATAGCAACCAATTTTATTCTAAATAGTCACATGCAAGAGTTCCTTTATACTAAGACAATGTCACGCTAACTTAAAAATAAATAAGCTCTGATATAAGAGGGCTATAAAATGGCAAGAATGGTCCTATCCCAGGATTTATACCCTTAGGTAACCCCGCTCCCGTCCAGCATTGGCTGATCCTATGACTTATTTCCAAGATTAGGTTATAAAGACACTTTGCCTTCTGCTTCTCTTATTTACTGGCTCTGATGGAAGCCAGCTCCCATATTGTGAACTGTGAAGAGACACATGCAAAAGATGCTTTAGGAGGTCCCTAGATGACAGCCAGTGGAGAATTGAGGATCTTAGTCTCATATTACATGAATGAGCCTAAGTGGATACTCCTCCAGAGACCACAGCCCCAATGATATTTTGCTTCGAGTCCTGAAAGTACTGGCACCCAGTGAGGCTGCATCTGTATTCCTAACTCAGAGGAACAGAGGTAATAAATATTTTTTTGTTTTGATTTTCTCAGTTTTGGGGTAATTTGTTATATAGCAATAGATAATGAATACATATAATTAAAGATAATATTTAAAATAACAATCCAGATTGTACCAAAGGGGAAACTACTCTGGATATTTTTAGGAAGTAGACTGCCAGGTCATATGGATAGCAAATAACCGTTGCAATGTTTTAAAAATGAACTGAATTCTCTTCACAGATCCATTAACTTGGCCTTTGGAGAAATGCGTTTAACCAGATGGCTGCCAAGCCTCCTAAAATCCAGTGAGCAGCTTGTGGAAGGGTACGGGATGCCTCAATACAACTGACCATTTCACTCTGTCCCCAGACAGTCCTGCTCTCATTTCAAACCAGTCAGAAGTCTTGGGCAGCTTAACACAAAAAGCAACAAAAGGAACAACATCCAATGATAACAGGGTTTTTGAGCCTTCACAAGCCTCCAAGGAAAGGAATAACAACCAAGAATCTCCAAAAATGATTCAGATTTATAAAATGCACTTTACTTTTCTTATTTCAGCAGTTTGTGGCTAATTCCTACTGAGGTTTTCTCTCTTTTTTTAAACACCCAAATAATGCATTAAGAGGTACATTCAACCCACTGATTCCACCTCAGTGACACAACACAGTGACCATCAGGGTCCTCACCACAGATGACACACCTCCCAGGGTGTCTGAGAAAAGGGTGGTGCTGAACCTGAGGCCTTTCTTCTTGAGGCTCTCACACACTTGTCCATATCTGAGAACAACTGGGGAGTGTGAGATTCATAGAAACATGAAATCATGGGAGAAAACTGCCTGAGAATCACCTCCTTAGTTATCTGAAGAAATAAGGGTTAATTTCAATACATACTCCCATTAACTTCAAGGTCTGAAGTTAATGGGAGTATGTTAGAGGAGAGGCTTTCTCATATATCATTGGGGGGCTGCAAAGGGCCTCACCTCTATTTTCTGATAGACCTCCTTAAACATCCCAGGGATGACATACTGTCGCTCCACCGCCTGGATCTCATCTCGAGTGGGCCAGATATCTTTCAGAAATACTCGTTGTCCCTTTGCATTTGTCCCTGAGGAAAATATGTTTACCAATGAGAAAAGCCTCCTCTAATATCCTCTTTGCATTGTTAATACAGTCAGATCTCTTTTCTCTCAATGGTTATGTTTGTTCTGAAAAGTATGTGTGAAGAGTCAATCAGTGAACCATTGCTCCTAGGAGAGATACAGGTTAAGGCCCTAGGTGCTTCTGACTATACTTTCATCTATACATAAACTTGTTTTAGGTGTCCTCCTGTTTAAAGATATCTTATTTACTATACAGTTGGGCCTCTGTATCTGTGGGTTCTGCATCTGCTGAACCAACAATGGATTGAAAATGCTCAGGAAAAAAATTTCATCATATTGTACATGTATAGATATTTTTATCATTATTCTCTAAACAGTACAATAGTTATAAATCTATTTTATATAGCATTAACATTGCATTAGGCATAATAAGCAATCTAGATATGATTTGTGTAGGTTATATGCAAATACTACATCCATTCATATGAGGTACTTGAGTGCCTCCTGATTTTGGTATCCCCTGGGGTCTTGAAACCAATGCTCATGGATACTTAGTGGTGGGTATATATGTAGCCTTGGACTTATAATTGAAAAGCACTGTAACTCATGCCTCAATAAAGCCTACCTCAACATAAAGTATACCACCATGGTCTTCTTGTGCTCAAAATATCACAGTACTTCACACTATGCTCTAGGACCAATTTAAAGTGGAACCACCACAAAAAGGCATAAAAATGAGGAAAAAATGGCTCTAAGTAGACTGTGAAAAGTATACTTGTTCAGAGTGTGGGAGCTGATACAAGAAGATAGAGTGCAGCCTTCATGGACTTTAGCATGGAAGATGTGTTGAGTGACTTGAGAAGTTTTCACTCCTGTGCATGTATGTGAGTGGCATTAAAGCATCAGAAGTACTGACTGAAGGTTAAAATACATTTTAGTGGGTAGGCAAAATTGCAAATATGGAATCCACAAACAATGAGGATCAACTGTACTTCTGAAGTTATGATTTCCTAAAAGTAAATCTAAGGGACAATGTTTGTGTATCATCTAAACTTCTTGGAATGGACTGAGAGGGTACAGCAAGCGAGAGGCCCACAGGAAAGGAGTCAAAGCATCAGTTCTAAATTTTGAGAAGTTGAAATATCTTAACACATTTAACAAAGAACATGTTAAAACAATGCCTATCATTAGAATAAAGCAAGAGTGAGAAAGGGAGGAACTGTAGAAGCCAGGAAAGCAAATCTCTACTACTTTTGGCATTTATTTCCCTTTGCCACTCTTGCCCACATTCATGTTTAGTTCAGTATGTGTCTTCCCTGTGTATGGAGAATGTTGAAAATATTCTCCTCTTTGTCTTATCTCTAAAGGTTCTGTGCTTCATTTTTAATCAAGAAAAGTAGCAATTTTCTTCCAATACTGTTTTTTAATTCACTGGAAAAAAAATTATAGACACACAAACAAAATCTTACCCAGTGGTTCTTTCTCAAAGTCAATCCTGATGGTCCCAGCGATTGCGTATGCTATTACTAAGGGAGGAGACGCTAAATAGTTGGCCCGAGTGTTAGGGTGGACTCGACCCTCAAAGTTCCTGTTCCCAGATAGTACTCCAACAGCTACTAGGTCTCCCTGTATAAGGACAAGATGGAAAAAAATCAAGTCATAAAGAGGAAGAGACTGCCTAGACTTCTTATCATAGATCACTCACAACAGTTCACATAATGAACTGAAGGGTGTGGCCCTTTCATTTTCACCTGGTACTCTCAAGCTACAGAGAGAAGGGTCTTTGGGAGCAGAGTTGTGCTCAATGATCTCTTCTCATGAGAAAACTCCAAGCAGGTCAAAGCACAATCTCCCAGATACTGCTGCCTGAGATGAAGAACAGGTGGGGAACATAAGCTGATAGCTAAAGGGAGCTATGGTGACCTATGTAAACTCAACAGTACTGGGGACAAAAGCCAATGCAATTTAGATTATTTAGGTGGAGACCAGTTTGACTTGGAACCAATTTTCAACAAAATTGTAGCCAGAACTAGCATGTACTGAGCACTTACTTAAGTGCCAGGCACTGGGCTAAATGTTTTATGTTGACTGTCATTTTAATTCTCACAACTCTATAAAATAGAAACTATCATCATCTCTAATTTACAGTTGTGGAAACGGAGGAACAAACAGGTTAACTAACTTAACCAGGATAACAGAGCCAGATATTTTAAAGACCATATTCTTAACCACATCCCCTGTTTTTACAGTGTATCTTGAAATTACCAGCATTTTTGTCATATGGGGAAAAAAAATAAAGCTCTGAATAACCTACAGGTTCCTCTGTAATTACCTGAGTGATGGCTTCTACCACAGGTTCAGGTAAGGGTCCACTGTTGCCAATGCAGGTCATGCAGCCATAGCCCACCACATCAAACCTATGAGTCAAAGGGAAGCACAAGAAAAAGAATGACTTTCCGTGAACCCTTTGCAGGCAGTACTTCTGGGAGACCATGGATCACAAAGGAATAGGAGCGCCTTAGGTTAAGTTCAGGACAGTGTTGTTTTCTAAAGCTTTCCTTCTAACTTATAACAAGGAGATAAATGATTCACCATTTTAAAAAATTCAAATCAGATATGGTATTTAATATTTCCATTTACTACTGCTATTGTATAATCTCAAGGATTTTTTAATTTTATGAAGTGTACAGAAAAAAATGTCATCTAAACCAGGAATAATATGGACACTGGAGAAACTATATTTGGCAACTGATTTGTCTCAAGAAATTACAATGTTTTTAGCCATAGTAAATACTTATTTTCATGCCCAAAGGCATACTCTCAGTTGCAGAGCCTCTGCTAGCCCATGGCATACCTCAATACAAGTAAGAAAAAGATGCACCCTTCCTCCAGGAGGATGCAGCCCCACATTAGGTGGTCTCAGTTTCAGCCCCTGCTTTGTCTTTAGGATCATCCTTGTATGATGAACAACCAGCACAGGTGGGCCATATTCAGTTGAAATGTCTGGGTTTAAATCTACCTACCAACTGATAAAAGACTATACTGTTGAACAGCATCAGATAAGCTCATAGCTACCACATGGTGACACAGCAAAATATATGAGGAAAAGCTACAACAAAAGCAACGGTGTAAAACAAAATACTCCCTCACCCAAGCTGAGACAGGTAAGGCATGACTCCACTTTCTCGCAGATAGTAAGTGACCACTCCACTGCCAGGAGACAAGCTGGTTTTGATATATGGCTTCACATTCAGGCCAGCATCCACAGCCTTCTTTGCTAATAATCCTATACAATGTAAGCACAAACAGGGTGTGGTGACTACCTGCCCAAGTTATGGGCACTTCAGGAAAGAGCCTGAATTTTCAGTCATATTCCCTGCCACTGTCAAGGCTTCCTTGGTGCTGGCATTCTGTGCCATTTCTGCTGACTATCAGAAATCAAAGTTCACTGGCTCAAAGTTGTTTACACATTTGTAATAAAGTCAATACTAGTCACGAAAATAAAGAAAGAGACGTGTTTACTTTTCTTTTTTAAAGAATAAATGCAAAACTTAAAAATATGTTACAAAGTGAGTTTTTAATTTTTGGAGGAAGTGCAGTTTTTTAAATTGAGTTTGATCTATGTGAAAATTATAATTGGAAGGCCTCTTTCTATGAATTGTATACTGGTTGGTGAGAAATATAGTGAGTCTAGAAGTAAAAATTTAGACTACAGATATTTCTCAAGAGCTCCTGGGCATTTGGACTTTGAGCAAATACAGGAACTGTTACTGGAACACTGGGTGCTCTCACTTAGTTAAGTATCACAAAAGTAGAAAAGAAGCGAGGAATGGGGGTGAAGGTGTAAAGGGACAAAGAGCTACAGATAAGTTGGTGATGTGTCTTAAGAAAAACTGGTTTGTTCCAGACAAGGAAAGCTTAAACCCAAAAGATGAACTCTCTGACAAAGGTTTTCCTTCTACCCATGAACAAACTACATTGACATTGGTCTGTGGACACAAAGGAAATTCGTGGGGATGATTAAACATTTGGAAACTAAAGAGATATTATATTAGTGAAACACTGCATGTAAACATTAACTATTTAACCAGAACTGTGTAACATGACACGTGCACTGAGTTTTATCAACCAGTGCCTTGTGCCCTAGTTCCGATGCACTTGCCAATGCACCTAAACAATACTAAATTTCACTGGTCAGGAGTTTTACAGAGGACAAAGTCTGTGACAAGACAATAAGTTCTTTTTTTTTTTTTTTTTTTTGTCTTCTAAAGTCTGAAAAGATTCTAGCTTCGAAAAAATTCAGATTCCTTTGGTTTCCTCTACTTATTTTCTCTAAAGAGAGAGACTATTATGCATCTTTGTTAAATACTTTGCTTTGGATGCTATTGTTGTATAGATATTTCTGGGCCAACAAATATCTTTATCTACAAAGACAAAGTTCAAGGAACTATGTGTGCAACTGTTATGACCCTGGGTCATATCTTGGGAGATTTCCACAAGCATGTCCACATGGTAGTGGGGATGGACTCTAATGCACTTACCTGCTCCTAACATCACAGATGGATTACTGGTATTTGTGCAGCTAGTAATGGCAGCAATTACCACAGAACCATGAGCAAGGGTGAATTCACTATTATTGTAGATAAATGTCTTCTGGGCATTGTGATGGTCTGCAGCAACTTGGAATCCTTTAAATCCTTGCTATAGAAAGAAAAAAACACAATTTAGGAAGAAAAAAATGTAAGAGATATGGTTTTTAATATAGGAGGAAAATATATATATTGTCAAAAAGTTTTCACTTTGGAAGAAGGAATTGGTAACCACAATTTTTTTTTTTTTTTGGCAATTTAAAATTTTTATTCACACTCTGTATATATTTATTTATTTATTTATTTTTTATTTATTTTTTTTAAATTTTTTATTGTGGGTTGTTCAAAACATTACAAATTTGGTAACCACAATTTTAAAGGCCAGTTATTAACAACAAAAAATCTCTGCCAGTAATCTATGAAATACCACATAAAGTTTCTCTACATTCTTTTAAAATATTTACAAAAGGCAGCCATAATTCCTGAATCTTACTCTGCATTGAAATCAATAATGATTATTCTCTTCTCTCTTAAAAAATGAGAATGCTAGACAGGTGCAGTGGGGCCCACCTGCAATCTCAACAACTTGAGAGGCTGAGGCAGGAGGATCACAAGTTTGAGGCCAGTCTGAGCAATTTGGAAAGACCCCCTGTCAAATGAAACAATAAAAAGGGCTGGGGAGGTAGCTCAGTGGTAGAGAACCCCTGGGTTCAATACCCATACTGCAGATAGATAGATAAAATTACAAGTTTAGTTCAAAGTTGATCTACATAGAACTCCAAGACATTACTGTATAGTTTAATGGACATGGACTGACTAAAGCTACTAATTCGAACCTTAAGGAAATTTAGAGAAAGTTGTCATTTTGACCAGGTTCAATTCACTATGATCAATAATAGATAAAACAACTGAAAATCTTATATAAAGCTAATGTCCCATGGATAAAAATCCATCACACATCTTATTCATTTGGAAGTGTTCATTGAAAATCCATGTCCAAGATGTTGCTGGTATTCTGTGGGATACCAAAACAACTGGCAGTCTGGTAGGGGAAATCACACATGCAAACAAAACACCAACAGTGTGAGTTGAAGAATATGGAGTCTCATCAAAAGAATTCAGACCAACCCAGCCATGAGATGCTGAGGCCACACTGTAGAGGAGCTGGTACCTGAACCAAGCCTTATGAAGCTGACAAAATAGGATGTGATGAAATGAAGACAGGTAGGCAGGGAGTGGCATGAACAAAAGTAGATAGTCCTAAAGCATGGCTGAGTAGTGAAGAATGTGGTGAATCCAGTAAAGAATAAATATGCTTAAAAATGAGAGTCGTGCTGTGTTTACAAATAGGCACATGCTCTTTGGAAGCTGTGTGGCCCACAGCTAATGGGGGACTCATTAAGGATTTTAGGATACAGAAGAAACATCCTCAGCACTGGGCTGAAGGAGATTCATTATCCAGTGGAGTGAAAGCCAGGGCACAAGGCAGAATTGGGAGGCCCCTACCTTTGCTCCAAGGCAGGTCTCAAAGTCATTTTTCATGTCAGACACAGCGACTTTGTCCTGAGGCCTCTTGGGTCCACTACAGCAAGGTACAACTGTTTTCAAATCTAATTCCACAACCTGTTCATCCAAGCAAAAAGGAATTACAGAATTCACACTATACCCACAGAAAAGAAACATAGCCATGACAGAAAATTTAAAATCTTACAACAATAAAAATAAGCAAATAAAGAAGCAAATCTGCCACATTCCAAATAAAGGAAAGAGGAAACATGTTTGGTGGAAGGTGCTCTCATACCTGGGTGAAGTCTGGGTCTTGAGAGCAGTCACTAAAATCTCGAAACATTCCTACAGCCTGAAGATACTTTTTAATGTGCTTGACTTTGTTTTCATCCCGACCTAAATGGCATCAGGAGTACCAAGAAACATGTTAATAATAATATTCCCAGAAGCAGTCACATAATTAAATGTTTTATGTACTCATACCTTTATTATCTTTCAGCTTCCAGGCTTTAGACTGTGACCCTCTGGCTGATGCTGCGTTTTATTAGGGACTATTAACTGTTCCCATTCCTACCAAAGTGACTATTTTCTGGAAAGGTATTGGTTCTACCCATAGATACTCCTCCTCTTTTTGGCCCTTAATTAAGAGAATTGTAAGTCTGAGCTAATGGTCAAAGTGCATATATATATATATATATATATATATATATATATTTATTTATTTATTTTCAATTGGCCAAGAAGACTCTTGGCACACTATATTACTCTTGTTAAAATCATTATCCAACCCATCCCAACACCAAGCCTCCTGATATTCAGCACTTTCTGTGTGCTTGACACTGTGTGTTAAATGGGATAACTACATTATTCCATACTCTAATCTTTTATCCTGACCTTATGAGACAAATACTTTTATTTAAAGATGAAGAAACAGTAGCTCAAGATTAGGTAACCATCCTGTAGAACACAGCCAATAAATGGCAGAACCAGAATTTGAATCTGAGTTTGCTTTCAAAGTCCAAAGTCTTAACTTACAGTGCTGTCATCAGGAATACAACCCTGAACCTTCTGCTCTTTTCAAGATCCTGGTAAAGGAGATAATATACTCATGAAGTATGCCCAATAGACACACTATTGACCCATCTCTCTGATAGTTAAATGAGACTGAAATTCTGACCCATAGATCAGAATTTGTCTGTTTGTATTAACTGAATTGTAAAGATCATCAGCTTTCAGCACAGACCTCATAAAAGATGGCTATATGAGCTTTATTAACAATTTATCATGGCCTGTGGCAAACCCACTGTTCATTACACCCCATGCCATCTTCTTCATGAACATGAACAAGAGAGATTTCTCTTAGCGTTTATAAAGAGAAAGGATCTCATTCTTTTGAAGAAGTATGCTTACTTCAATTTAACAGTATACAAATTTGGCACTGGGTCACCACCAGTACTGCAGAAATGAGCCCAACCTCTGAATAGATTCTGCAGCTCTTCTCCCTTTCCCAGTCATTGTCCCTCTCCTTTTCTTTTTTCAGGTTAATGCTCTCTATTATTTATTCTGTTCCTTTATTACTATCTTTTTCACTTCAAATCCTTTGAAGGCAACAAAGGACTTGTGGGAACGTATTAATTCCAATTCAGTTATATTTGATAAAACACTTTTTAAAAAATATATGTTATTCATCATAATTTTTACTGCTTCCAGAAGAATTTCCTCATAGGGAGAAGACTTGGATTTATTAGGATTCTCACAAATCCCTTCCCATGGCTTGCCCCCTCCCTTCACTCAGACATCTGTCCAATTTAAAGTTCCATCAGCCCCTTGCTGACTTTTCTATAGAAAAAGTACTCTTAAACACTCTGACCACTTCCTGGCTTTCTTCTTCATTGTCACACTTTTGTGTCTGTTCACTGGTATTCCGTCTTCCTCCCTCATAGGAACATAAGCTGTATGAGGGCAGGGACTTTATTTATCTTGTCTACTGCTTCCTGTCTGGGATCTAGGCTTGATACTGACTGTAGAAAATGAGTAACAGAATGAACATTGAACATTTTTTTTTTGTACTGAAGACTGAATTCAGGGGTTCTTTACCCCTGAGCTACATCCCCAGCCATGTTTTGAATTTTTAAATTTTGAGACAGGGTCTGGCTAAGTTGCTTAGGGCCTTGCTAAATTGCTGAGGCTTGACTGAACTTGTGATCTTCTATTTCAGTGTCCCAAGCCTCTGGGATTACAGGTGTAAGCCATTGTGCCTGCTGAGAATTTATTTTTAAAAAGGATTTCTCAAAGAAAAAGTCAAATGTCTAAGCAAATTTATACCAAGTTAAAGATCCATTGATATAAGATACCTTCTTATGAAGTCTCTCATTTCAATTATTGGACAACATGAGATGGGCATTGCAGAGTGAGGGCCCTATTTGGAGCCAAACAGCTGCAGGCTAGGATTCCAACTGTTACTTATTAGCCTTAGGTAATAACATTTCTCTGATCATCAGTTTTCTCTCCTACTATTTAACTAACTAATCCATCTCCCCTGTGGACATGTGAAGAGGAAGACAGCAAATGCACGCCAAGTGCCTGGTCTACTACAGCTATAATACTAACCTAACTCATTCATGTCAGAAACTAGTTGCAGAAAACCCAGTACAAGTATCCAGGTTTCTGTAGCACCACAGCTCTTCCTATGGGCAGTACTACCTCTGACTTATACCTCCTTAAATCCCAACAACCCATCTTGACTTCACAGAGTAAAAAAAAGCCATGTAACTCTACGCTAAGAGCATTGTGAGGGACAGAGAAAGAAGGCAGGGCTCAGATTCTCAGTGTTCCATGAAACTTTAACAAGGAACTCTCTGCTTTCACAGTCCTTCACTTACCTGTCTGCACCAGGTACTTGATACTAATTTCATCAACTGGGAAAAAGGCAGCTGTTGCTCCATATTCTGGACACATGTTTGCAATTGTAGCTCGATCAGCAATGGACAATTGGGCTACTCCTGGCCCAAAGAACTCGACAAATTTGCCCACAACCCCAACCTGGCGGAGGTGCTAACCAGCAGAAACAACAGAAACATTTGAGACTTGACAGCCTAGATTTAAAATGAAGAACTGTCATCTTGTAATTCTTATAATTCTTTACATTCCCTTATTACTTGTAAACATAAGTAATAAATTAGCCCAACACATTTTAGATTATTTTAAAAAACAAAACTTAAAACACAATGCCATCTGAATGCAACATGACATCCTGAACTGGATCCTAGAATAGCAAACGGACATTAGTGAAAAACCTGGAGAAGTCTGTGGCTAAAAGTGCCATACCAATGTTAACTTCTTGGCTTTGAAAAATATATCATGGCTATGTAAACTGTTAAAAATAGGAGAAGCTGGGATAAAGGTAACAGGGACTCTCTATATTATTTTTTCCTGTAAATCTAAGATTATATCAAAATAGTTAGGGCCAAAATTACAATAACATTTAGGAACTTTTTTTCAAAATGAGAAGCACTCTTTGGATCACTAGAAGTGCCAAGTGTTAAAAAATTGAATTCTTCCAATCTAAATAAATCTAAATTGTTATGCAGTCATACTAGTTGAATAAGTAAATGACGTATTTTCAAAAGTGTAATGCATAAAATTCAAGCAACAAGTCAAATGTAACATCAATAACAAAAATATTTTCTAACCCCATCTTTCCACACAAGATATCAGCCTGCCAAGGCTCTGGGACTGCTGGCACTTTGCAAAAAGCCAGTTTCACAGAACACAGACAATTACACAAAAAAGCTCTTTTGATTATGTGGATTCTGAAAAATTGTGTGGGAAAGTTGTATATTAGTCCATGTTTGAAAAACAGTGTATAGATATTTGTGATAAGTGATAAGCTATGGTGTTCAAACAAACCCAATTCCAAATTCCACAAAATTAAATCAAAGAGAAACTTTTAAAATTTCTTTTTGGCCTTTTACAGTGTGGTGCCTATATAAAAGAAGCAAATCAGACACACCAGAAACAGATGGTTTCTTACAAAATTTTAAGAAAAAACACCCTAATATTTCCCAACCTGGAAAACCATCTCTTATAATGATGTAATTTATAATACAAATAAGTAAATTTAAAAACTCAAAACATCACAGGGAACTAATTTACTATTTACAAATAAAGAGAAACCATGTGGAAAAATGTAGCCAAAGTATTAAGATATGCATGGAAATGATTCTTACAACTACAGGATAGTGATTATTTCTAGGAATGGGAAGCAGGGTTTAGCCATAAACACTATATATTTACTTCTTTAAAAACAGTCATGATGCAAATATGGCAAAATATTATCATCTGTTAAATCTAAGAAGTGGGCATATAAATATCATTTTAATTGCTGCATATTTAAACTATGTCACAATTTTTAAAATTAAGAAAAGATCTGGGTAGCTAAAGAAGAGTAAAATGCACATAATCATCTAAACCACAAAATATTCCCATTATCTCATCTCCTTTTAAGACTATCAACGTATTGTTTTCTAGCATTTCCAGAGACCCCACTATCTATCTCTTCCCTGTTTGTCACAGAGTTACCTTGGTAATGGTGAGCACAATGTCAGTGGATGTTACCAGAGCTTGGGGCTTTCCCATCAACCTGTAGCCAATCACCTGGGGAAGCACCATGCTGATCGGTTGACCAAGCATGACAGCTTCTGCTTCGATACCACCCACACCTGCAACAAACAGGATGGCCAGAATAATGCTTCATTATTTCTCATTGTATCCCTCAGCTATCAATTCAATAAACACAATTATAATGTTTAACTGGTAGAGCTGTAGTTCTATAAGAAGCAGTTATTCTATTTTCCACTATACAATCTTTTACAAGTGTTTCTTAAAGTATATCCCTACCAGTAATTGTCATCAACATCCCCCAAAGCTACACCCAGTGGGGTGGGTAGGGTTTAGGAGTCTCTGTTTTTTTTGTGTGTGTGTGAGAGAGTTACTAAGAGATTGAACCCAGGGCTTCAATGCCAGGCAAGCCCTCTACCACTGAGCTACATCTCCAGCCCTTTTTCTATTTTTTATTTTGAGACAAGGTATTACTATGTTGTTCAGGCTAGTCTCAAGCTTGGATCCTCATACTTCAGCCTCCCAAAGATGCTGTGATTACAAGTTTGTGTCACTGTGCCTGGCAGGAGTCTCCATTTTTTTTAAAAATAAGTTATACTCCATGTATGTATATTTTATTTCATTTATTTATTTTTATGTGGTGCTGAGGATCAAACCCAGTACCTCACATGTGCTAGATGAGCACTCTACCAATGAACCACAACCTCAGCCCCAGGAATCTCCATTTTTAACAAACATCTCAGTTGATTTTTATTTATGCAAAGTGTCCCTAACCTATTATTGCAGTTTATTTTTCCAAACAAAATCTGAGTTTCTATTAGATGCAAGGCACTTTCCTGGGCACTGGAAATACAACAGTGAACAGACAAAAACAATTCTCCTATACATGTGATTATGCAAATACATGCTACTGAGATTTAATTGCAGTAAAGTGAATTAAGGTACATGCTCCAGAACAGCATATATGGAAAAGGAACGTGGAAGTACACTTACCCCAACCAAGAACACCCAAACCATCAATCATGGTAGTGTGTGAATCTGTGCCCACGAGGCTATCTGGGTAATAATATCCATCCTGATCAAACACCACTCTTGCCAAGTACTCCAGATTCACCTGGTGGATGATTCCTGAACCAGGGGGAATAATCCGCATGTTGCGAAAAGCCTGAGAACCCCACTGGGATTGAACAGAAAGAACATCATGAATACCAACATAATTCCACTCTGCCCAGTCTGAACACCTCTCTCATGTACCCCACAAACAGAAAAATAACAAAAATAACAAAACCAAACTCTGCCCATACCTTTAAAAATTCAAATCGTTCTTTATTTCTTTCAAATTCTAGGTCCTGATTCTTCTGTAAACTGTCAGCCCTGTGAGAAAGAAAAACTAAATGTATAAACTTCAATGCTTAATGTATTATGGATGAAATTTATTAGTGATGAATAAACAAAATGGCAATTTTATAATCAAACTGCATTGTTTTGAGTCATTTCACAACTCCAGTTTTAGCACAGAGACAGTGCTCATAATTTGATTATCACAAATTGAAGAAACACAGTAATCAAAGACTGAAATCAGACTTTATAAGTTAACATAATTAAACGATATTACATGTTTCAGGATCCAGATCAAGTGACACTCCTTTGGACAACAATGACTCCTCACTTTGATTTGCCCCTTCTCTCTGGTGACTACTATATTAAAGGTGTGTGTTCACTTATCCTCTTTCTTCTTAAACTAACCTGTTTTCTGAATAAATACAGTGCTCATAGTATGTCCATTAAGTTGATTTAATTTAAAAACCCCACAACCCCCACCCCCTAAACCCCAAGAAAGCACCTCCAACCATATTTCTACTAGTACAGGTGAGAAAATATGGTCCTGCCCCCGTGCCCATCTTTTCTCCTGTACTTTGTGCACTTCTGGATTCTTGTCACTTTTTCCTCTTCCCTGCAGCACCAGGAAGATATGAGAGCTTCTCATAGCATAAACAGGGCTGAAAGGGAAACATCTACCTGAGGAAATGTTGGGTGCATCTATCTGATAGATGCAACATATTCACAGGATGAGCAGAGGCCAGAAACACTTAACGCTGTTCTATGATATGGTATTTCCAGGTACTAAACCTCATGAAAACAAAACAACTATTATGCTAAAGTTGGCTCAATTAGCCTAATTCTAGTTACTAGAATAAATAGAGTTCAGTTTTTTTTAAAAGCACTCAGAACTTTCCTAAATTAGCCCAATGTAGTAATCTTTTAATAAGGTCTCTGAATGTGAATGACCTCATAGACTAAAGGGAAAATTTCTTCTTAGTCATTTAATTTGAATTCACATTTGGACATAGTTCATAGTTCCTGAGAATTACACTGAATGGTGCTTTAGCAGTTCCCAAGTAATATTTTATAGACAAGATAGTTTTCATACTCATAAAATCTGGTCAGAAATTGTGAAATTTTTGCTGGAATTTTTAAAAAGGGTATTTCCAGGGTAACTGTATAAAACAGTATAATAATGTGTTAGTTAGATCCTCAATTCCCAGATGATGTGAGGCCAAATAGTATTATTCAAACTAGATCAAAAATTATTTTCAGAAATATTTAACTAAAAAATGTTTCACCCTACCACCCCTTATCCAGTTTTTCTAGCTCGTTTCTGGAACAGAGATGAAAATAAGCTCAAAGCATACAGTTCCAAAAGAGTTGAGATATATCACATTTAATTCCTTTAAAAAATGACAAAATGAGAAAAGAGACCAGGAAGTGGAATTGCAAAACCAAAACTCAAGAAACAATAAAACACCACCAATGAAAATGTTTCTAACAAAAATGTTCAAATTACATATTTTCACTAGATTTGAATATTTGAATCAAAGCTCACCCCTGCTTTCACAATAAGGTTTTCAATACTACAGTATAAATGAAAAAGTCTACAAAAAAAATTGAAACCAGAGTTTCAATTTAAAAGGAAAAAAAAAATCAGAGGGTACTTGGTAATGACCCAGTGCATTAATAACCATGAATACTTTAAATTTTGAGTCAGCAGACTTCAGACATGAAATCAATTACAATTCTGTTTCTACTGGTACTTTCACCTTCCAGACGAGTGAAATGAAAGTAAACCTAGGAACATCAATGAATCTCTAAGAAAGATGGCTATTATTTGTGAGTCTACTTTTATAACTTTTGAAGCGGGACTTTAGGAAACAACCTTACTTTCAAATAGAATAACATTTTATGCCTATATTTTTAACTCTTCCTTTTGAAACCAAGATATTGAATTGAGCTCATGTAATTTAAAAGGAAAGAAAAGACAGAGAAAGAGAGATGTTGCCTAAGGATGGTTTCAGGGTTGAAAGAGAAAGTTAACATTTGTCAACTTCAATCTCTTTGTCCCAAGAACTGTCAATTTGGGACAAAGCACATTTTTCTTTACCCTGAATTTATCTTGTTTGGATATTTGCAATATTAACTGGGGAATGGTCATTTTATAACTCTGAGCCACATCTCCAGTCTTGTTTATTTTTTATTTTTAGATGGGGCCTCACTAAGTTGCTTAGGGACTCACAAAGTTGCTGAGGCTGGCCTTAAACTTGTGGGATCTTCCTGCCTTAGCCTCCCAAGTCACTGAAATTATAGGCCTGTGCCACCATGCCTGATTTATTTTATATTCTTAAATAACTTTTTAAGATTATCAAAGTAAAAGCTTCTTAATATAAAAATCAGTTACAATCCTAGAGATAACTGCTATCTGGTACCTCTTTCCAATCTTTTAGTATAGCTGAGATCACTCTATATATGAAATTTAGTATCTGGCACACTGAACTACAACAGGAACATGTTCCAAATGATTAAGCACCTTATAAATATGACTGAGAGGTTACCTAATAATTCACTTTGGGCATGTACCATAAGTTAATAAATCATTCACTTTGTTGAATGTTTAGATTGTTTCTAGGCTTTCATTTATAAATAATACTTTAATGAACTTTATTGGCCAGTAAGCTTTTTTTTCAATTTTAGCTACCTATTAAAGATATGCTTGGAAGAAGAAATTCTAGGACAAAGGATATGGAAATCTGTAAGGTCTTACTATATACTGTTTTCATCATTTCTAATTTACAGTGCTATTAGATTATAAAAGTGCCTCCTTCATGACACTTTTTATAATTAATGTTTATTTTCTAATCTTACCTACATTGATAAAAGAAAATGCTATCTCAAATATTATACTTTATTACCCATAAGACTTAGGCTGCAATACTGTTTACCACTTGGAATACCTTTTAGTATGAATATACACTTTCCTTTGCCTGTTTATCTGCTGAGTCTTACTATTTTTCTAAATGAGTTGTACACACTCTTAATAAATTAAGGATATTAACCCTTTTTTATATTTGTTGTGAATATTTTCAAGTTACTTTCTCTTAACTTTTAAGTCATTATATCTATAGTTCTTTTTCCTTGTTTTATTTATTGATTCTAAATTTGGAAAGGCCTTTCTCATAAAGACATTTGGCACTTGTATAATTACATTTCCTTCTTATTTTTTTAAACATTAACATTTTCATTCTTATTAACTGCTTTCACTAAATGCCTGATTTCCTCAGCATTATATGTGGAAATTCTTTCTTTCTCTATTGAACAACTTTATGTAGTCATAATTAAGATACCAGCCTCTTAACAGTACCTGAAATCCAAGTCCTAGTTCTGTAATACTGCAGTTATTCCTACCATATTTCCATACCGCAATTCTTGGCTTGCCCATGTAACTTGCTCTGATCAGTGGCATCAGGAACAGATGTGATCTGTGCTAGTCCTTAAGAGGTACTGCACTTTTCTTATTGCCCTTCTGAGCCTCTGAGATCACCAGGAACTGTTTTCCCCTTTAGCCTGGGTCCCAAAAGAAACAAAGAAGCAGAGCTGTCCCAACTACCCTGCAAGTGGTGGTGCAGGATAAGCAGGAAAACCAGCCACTGCAGTGGGAAAGTAGGGTTGCCCAGTTGACCTCAACCCGATCAGCTTACTTCCCAACAAATTTGTGAATGTGTTAGAAATAAATTCTTGTCATTGACTGCCACTGAGATTCTGGAGCTACTTTGTTACATAGCAATAGCTGATTTTATATCTTTATATTGAGATTTCATGGTTTGATGGTAGAAACTCTGCCTTTTAGAGCAAAGGACAAATGGCAGAATTTCCTCTCATCTCACTCCTGTCTATACTATCTTGACTCCAAGGGCAAAGGCGATTGTTCTTTCCTTCAGATCAATGTCATCAAGTGCCCTTTTGGATTCTATCAAATCACTAAATGCTTCACTTGGATTTTGCTATGGTACTTTTTTTTTTGGTACCGGGCATTGAACTCAGGAGCACTTGACCACTGAGCCACATCCCCATCCATTTATTTATTTATTTATTTATTTAAATTTTGAGACAGGGTCTTACTAAGTTGCTGAGGCTGGTTTTGAACTTTCAATCCTCCTGCCTCAGCCTCCTGAGCTGCTGGGATTATAGGCATGAGCCACTGTATCCAGCTGTTTGTGTCATTTATTTTTTAATGATTTTTTGGTGTGTATACTAAAGGAAACTAAGAATGCATGATGTTTAATGTCCTGATGTTATTTTAAGCCAAAGAACACCTGCCATTTAAAGAAAAGTCTTTGGGAAAATGAGATTGAGGGATACAAATTCATTAAAATAAATTGAATCAGGAAAATTGACCATTACTACTTGATTGTTGCCTTGGTAAGTGTTTGCTCTCCAAATATGAGAGCTGAGAGTGTAATAGGTACTTAACATACTAAGCCAGGTGACCTTGAAGTTATCCTTGGATTAAATGAGAATCTTGATGGCTAAGTTAAAGTGGTTATAATTCCTTTAGAAAGGGAGAAACTAAATTCCCCAAGACATTGGGATTCTCTTTTATCTGTCTTCTCACCATTGGCATCAAAAGATAATGGTATTAAGAGGTCCTAGTAAAAAAACCCTTTAGTAGGGAATGAAATTGACCAAATTATACTATTATATTGTGTGTATGTGTAACAACAAATTCCAATGTTATATATAATAATCAACAATAAAAAGGGAAAAATTAAATAAAAAGAACACTTTTTTCAAAGAAGAAAATTTAATATGCAAGTATACTTTTGTGAACTAGCAACTTAGGCCTGGCCTCTTAATAAAATTTAAAGGTAAATAAATACTACTTAAGCTAAGAACATGTAGCACTATTAATCCTGGCCCACTGAAGAAATAACTGAGTCTATGAGATTAACAAGAAGAGGATTTAAGCTGGCCAGGAAAGACATGTAGGGTTTGGGCAGAACACGAGAGGATATCCCAAAAAACAGAAGAAAAACAAGCAGGGGGAAAAGGATAGACACTATGAAAATCCACATGGAGAGGCACAGACAACCAGGTATGAAATTTACTTGGGCTCAAAAAGGAATAAAACTCCAATGGATGAAAAAAATCCTTGCTTTTGCTGAGGCTGGCTTTGAACTTTCCATCCTCCTGTCTCAGCCTCCTGAGCCGCTGGGATTACAGGTGTGTGCCACCACACCCAGCCCCAGGTGTTCATCTTAATCCTTCCTCACCTTCTGTTGAAGTCAACCTGGATAGAATGGTCAATTACAAGATCAGCAGGACAGACAGGGTTTATTTTCTCTGGATCTCCTCCCAACTTTTTCACAGCATCACGCATTGCAGCAAAGTCAACCACAGCTGGCACACCCCTAAGAAAGAGAGAATTAAGCAGAAAATAGCTTTAAACAGGTATAATCAGATTTTGCAATTTTTGCCACCATTGAAGATACTGATGAGGGACTACCTTGTCAGAGTTGATAACAACAGGTGACTTAGAAAAGTGAAAGTTTCTAAGCATATTTCCTCCAATAGAAGTCACATAGCTAACATAGTCACATAGCTATGACTGAAGGGTCTTCATCCAATTTTACCACTATATTAAGTTTAATGACAATTAGGTCTAAACAAAGAAACTGGGAAAGCTGGCACATACACTCAGGAGCTTTTACTGCTGTGACCATTTCCTACTCTCATGGTGGGTATACAAAGACCTGGAGAAGACAGACAGATCATACCTTCAACTTCAGCCAAATTTAAAAGAATGGATGTAATTTAGAAAAGTAGGCTGTGAATCAAATTTATGTTAAGTGAATCCTTCCATTATCTTAAAAGTATAAAATTTGGTGACTTTCCTCCAGAAAAATGAAATTAGGCTATTTGGAAAAAAAGGTATCATTTAAAAATGGAAAGACTGTCTCAGAAAAGGGAATGTGATAGGAAGCAAGGATTCCTAGGAACAGCAGGATGTGGACTAATAGTCAGGCCTGTGAAGTACATATTGTCCCTCACAGACAGAACCAGAATGTTCAAGTATAGCTGTCAGGAACCTGGCTCTCTGGGCAAAAGTTTCCAGGACAGCTCTGCTCCACACATTTTCTTTTACCTTTCCCTGGGATACTCAGGACTAGATCTTCAAGACCAAGGATGATGACAACTGCCACTGGAAAAGTGGGTAGACAACACATCTGGGATCACCTGAGACAATACCAGTTTATTCTTGCTACCAGGAACAAGAACCCCCTTTTTCTTTTGAAAGTGTCTGGATATTAGGTGATAAATTAAACAATCTCTACAGAGATTTTTTGGTTGGATTAAAAATAAAAATAATAAAAATTTTCTTGAAAGGCTGACAAAGGAGCAGTAAAGAAAGAAGTGACATTAGGCTCACGTAAAGTCCTGTAGGATGACACGAGCAGGCTTAAATGGTACTTCTATGTTCTTATGCTGCATGATATTCCAATTTAGAATATTTTCAATGTCATTTTTCTTCACCAAAAACTCATCACAGTTCCGAACAGCTGCCTCCAGGAGAACTCTGATTGAAAATGGTAAGCGTACTGCGAATAAAGGAGGAAACATTAGAAAACAAAAAAACTAAAAAAAAAAAAAAAAAATGAGATACCATAAGAACCCTCTTTAAAACCTATCATTATGCAAACTTGAGATGAGGCATCAGATCATTCTTCCAACAGGTTAAAAGGGTAAATTAGCTGACAGTTCAAGATAATGAGTGGATTTAAGAGACATTCAGTAGTAGAAAATGCTCAGATTAGTCAAAACCCAAATATTACAGTTTATTTTTTCCCTCCTATTAAAGGTTGCCTTGCCTTGGATTCAATAACACAGAGTTATCACATCTCACTATCAGTCTACATTTTAACTGTATTATGCTGGCAAGTATTACATATGTTCATATACTTGCACAGAAAAATATTTCTTATGAAAAGTAATGCTCCAAAAGTGAGAAAAAATAATCCTTTTACAATCACTATAATTGAGTCCATAGAATCTTTGATATGAAATAAAACTCTAAACACTAAATAGCACTGTCACTGGTAACTGGAGTTTCTAGGACAAAACAATGGTAATTCATAAGAAAACATATTTTGTTTATTTACAAAACAGAAGTTAAATCTTGATATATGAAAATTATTTACCAATACTATCTGAAAAAGACAGTGAAAGAGAGAAAAAAGCTTTGGAATAAAGCTTTTTACTCCAGGATTTGGAATAAAAATAACTTGTGTTCTTGTCCTCTTCTGCTGCCCACACTTGTTATCTGAGCACACATCATTGACTCACTCTGGGCCTCAGCTCACTCAGGACTTTTTACATTTTATAAACATGACCCCATGTGGTTATTACTCACATAAAATCATAGGCTATTTATCTACAAACACTATATATTATGAAGTGATAAAGTTACATGTAACTAAAAATAACCAATGTAAGAAAGGTGTGTGTGTGTGTGTGTGTGTGTGCTTAATCCAAGAACATTCAGCCATTCTGTTATTCCCTCTTCCAATGCTCCTCAAAGTGAATTAATAATATAGCTTAATTATTATGCAAATGAATCCCAATTGCTATCTGAGAAAATACATTATAGAGCCATGTACCTACCATATCTTGAATCCTCCAATTTATTCAAATTGAAGAATTTCTTTCCTGGTTGTGCAGGATCCAAAGGCTCAGCAAGGTGTGAAAATGGGTTCTTCATGATTACTGATAGTCACGTGTCCCTAAGAAAAAGAACTTGTTACTTTCGAAGTTGGGCCTTCTTTTAACGATTATAGCACACAGTCACTTACAGATTCTGTACTTGTTATTTTTTCAAAATTCAGGGATGAGGGGAATTAAATGAAGACAAGAACGACACTCTTAGCAAATGTAATGGGCTTTTGTATAGCTACTGTGAAAGCATTTACCTCTCTAGACAGCACAAAACCACAAACTTCTTTAGTCCTATTTCTACAACTTCCCAATATTCTTCCACTGTTAAGAGTTGGGCAAAAGGGAAATGAAGGATGTGTCTCACAGAAGACCATGAGAATGTGAACAGACCTCTGAGATGGACTCGTAATTTTATATAATTAAACATGCAATTACATAAAATCTGAACATAAATGGAGACTTGACAGAAGTCGACTTATATATTTTCTATTATAACTATTTTTGCAACATTTTTTTACTTAATTTATTTTTGGTACTGGGACTTAAACCCGGGGTGCTTTACTACTGAGCTACATCCATAGCCCTTTTTATTTTTCATTCTGAGAAAGGGTCATGCCAAGTTCCTGAGGCTGGCTGGCCTTGAATGCCTCAGCCTCCCACATTTGCTGGGATTACAGGCACACAACCAGTCTTTGCAGCATTTTTATTAAACCTGAACACCATAGTTAGAAATCTTTCTGATTTGCTTTGGCATATGGTGGCATTAGTATGTTGACATAGGGGAATCCTTTTGTTTTAAGTACTGGGGATTGAACTCAAGGCCTCGTGAACATCAGACCATCTTTAAAGATTTCTGTGATAGCATAAAGGTCTAAACTCCCCAGATATGTTTACAGAGGACCCTCTACCCCAGAACTTCTCAGATATCTCTTTACAAATTATAAGCAGTGAACAGTGGAAGACAATGTTCCTGACCCTTACTACATAGATAAAGAACAATTTTAAATAATTACATAACTCAGAGCAAAATGAAGTGGGGTGGGAGTCAGAGGACTTGCTTTTCTGGTCTTACCTCTTGAGCAAAAAACCTGTTAGTCAATCCATTTCCCAATTTTTTTTTTTTTTTTTTTTTTTGAGACAAGGTCTCACTCAGTTGCCTAGGGCCTCATCAGTTTTTAAGGCTGGCCTTGAACTTACAATCTTCTTGCCTGAGTCTCATTTAAGGAAAGAATAGTTAACACTGTCCTGCTTTCCCAAAGTTTATATGAGTAAATATTACTCACATATTCAAAATATTTAAGGAATGACCTATATGGAAGGGATCAATATATTATTATAAAATGAAAAAACACCATGTATATAAAGGACTGTTTGTGAGGATAAAATGTTACAAGTGTGCCTTGTCTCTATAGACAGGAGTTTACCTTCATTAAGGACATAACAGGGACTGATTCCCTTAAGAGGAACACAGACCTGGAAGTTAAGACTGGGATGAAGACACAGTTTTTAGTTTTTGCCTTTTTCTTTTAGCTATGAATACAAATAACAACAAAAAGTAAAAACCTAGTTAAAATTTTAAAATAAAATAAATTTGTACGTCTCTTCTGTACAAGGCCTAGTACACGTTGAATATCTCTATTCCAAGAATCTGAAATCCAAAATGAAGAAAAAAGCAAACTTTTTGAGTGCTGACATAGAGCCATAAGTGGAAAATTCCACACCTGACCTCACATGAAAACACTGTTACGCTAAAAATACTGTCTAAAATTACCTTTGGGCTACCTGTATAAGGTACATATGAAGCATAAGTGAAATTAATTTTGAGACTTGGGTCTTGTTCCTGTGACACCTCATTATGCACATGCAAATATTCCAAAATCCAAAATAATCTGAAATTTGAAACTCTTCTGGTCTTAAGCATTTCAATAAACAGTATGCAGCCTGTACTAGGTGGTTTGGGGAAGAAGCAATTGGTTGAGAAATGGATTCTGTCTTCCTGGAGTTACCAGTGCAGCAGGCAACAGGACATGGCACAGGTATCAGACAATGCCGAGTTCAAGAAAGGGAGGTTCTTTGCAAAGCCCCTTTCTTTGGAACTCCTTGTTTTACCTCATCTCACATGATATTGGCAGCAGCTGCCACTTGGCAGTAGTGAGAGAAGGTATTTGACCTCATCTAGGCCAACTTCCTTCTCCAGGAATTATGAAATGAAGACTAAATAAAAAAAATCCAGCCAGGGAGGATGGAATATCCCTAACTGCTTATAAAAGTACTTATCCTAGTCCACCTGTATGATAATTACCTTGGACATCTTTCTGGTTAAAAATAAAAATGCCTGAGTACTTCCCTCCCCACCCCTTGAACCACACTGACCAGAACAGACAGACAAAAGGGCAGGAATCACCATTTTAGCTTCCCAAGTGGTCAGTTTGAGAATCACTACTGGAAGCTGAGGGATGCCAGATGAGAATTTACAGTAGGTAAATTTACAGTAGGAAGAGAATTTACAGTAGGAAGCAGTAGGTAGCACAGGGAGCGGGAATTCCTAGAGTCACAACCAAAATGCCTTCAGGGCACAGACAAGGAATCTGTGCAAGTAAAGCAGGCCGCACTGGCATGGTGGCCTTAGTTTTGGAGGTGACAGTGCATATAAGATAAAGTGCCACACAAATGCAAAAGATTTGTTAGTAACTGCCACTAAGTGAGAAGCCAGCCAGAAGAAAAAAAACCTGTCAATACTGTTTTTTTTTTTTAAATTTATTTTTTTTATTAGTTGTTAATGAATCTTTATTTTATTTGTTTATTTATATGCAGTGCTGAGAATCAAACCCAGTGCCTCAAACATGCTAGGCAAGCACTCTACAATTGAGACCCAACCCCAGCCCAATACTCTGTTTAATAAGAAACATACTGCTTATCTGCCTGCAGAAGTTTACAAATCTGTGGGCTCAGAAATAAGACTAATCATTCCATTGACTGGAATTCCGAAAGCATACATTTAAAAAGACCATACTGCTACTCTCTCTGTTATCCATGCCACAACCCCAACTTAACTTTCTTACTCCAAATAGCAGTAACTTCAATAGTAAAACTAGTTTTTTACCTGATTGGAGAAAAGGATCAATAGAAGAACATCTTTACAAAGGCTGTGGGACTTTTTAGTGTTTCTGAAGCTAGACAAAGTGGTGGGAAACCCTTGGAGAATAGATCAAGATAGGTCATTCCTCTGTCCAGAACTTAGGGTTCTGAAACGTGCAATCTCTGTGTTAGGTTCTAAAGGGTCAAGGGCCCAAAGTCTGCTAAGATTCTACGGCTAAACCCGTTGCTAAGCTATACCCATATTTGCCACCATACACAGGGGACCAGATGTGTCTATTTACTTTCTCTGTAGCTTACAAACAGCCTTGACATTATTAACACTGGAAGCCTCACATCATTCCTGCTATTCCCACCATCCTTCAAAGCCCATATTTCAGATGGATACAAGACCAATATTGACTCTTAGAGAAAGCGGTTTGTGTGAAGAGCTCTACTGTCTGCCTCCTGTTTCCTTTCAAAACTAGCTGTCTACATTCATTAGTCATGAAGAAAATTTGACTTGTAGAGGTTAGGGGAAAGAGGAAGCAATTACCACTTGCTAAACAGGAGCATGTGCCAAATTCTTCAAACTGTCTTCTCTAATCCTGGCAACAGCTTCATAAATTAAAACATATCATTATTCCCATTTTATAACTGTGGAAACTGCAGCTCAAAGGGATGGAAAAACTTGCCCATGGGAATATATCTAGTAAGAGGAAGAGCTAGATTTTGAACCCTGGCTCTTTCTATTGCCTCACTATACCTCGACAGATGCGGCAGCTCCTGCTCTGAAGGTCACTACCAGGCCCCTAGAGCTGAAAATAGCCATAAGAAATCCTCTAGAGATTCAGGTTTGAAAGCTGGTGCTGTCTTTACTTCTCTCCACTGGTCCCCTGGCACCTAGTCAGACCAGGAATTGTCACTTGTCCCTCCCACTCTTTACTGAGCCACAGGTCAATAGGAAACAGTAACAGCTATATTAAGGCAGAAAAAAAAAAAAAAAGGCTTTGCTTGGAAGGTGGGGAAAAGCCCCTCCACAGAAGTTGGCAGGACACAGGAATCCAGAACTGCTCTAAGGTTCCACCTATAATATCACCCTTGTGGCAAATCTGGAGGTCTCTATGGGTTAGTAACCCCCTGAGAAACCCCCTTCATAACCTTAAAATGACCCCCTTAAACTCCCTTACAATGGCCTTTTAATGCATTTGGAGTTTTCTTAAAAAAAAAAAATTCAGACCTTACAATTGTTTAGAAAATTGTTTATTTATTTTTTTTATTTTATCAGTAGACAACAAATATCTTAATATGGCAGTCATGATATTTCACATCTTTTTTAACTACACCATAAAAATCTTAATAAGATAATAATTTGCTTCAATCCTTTTCATTAAAATACTTAGGTTATTTTCAAGTATTACCATTCAAACAATGCTGCAACTCTTGCATACAAACTTTGGAATGTCCTTAATCCATTAAGTTAAATAAATTCCTAGCTTTTAGTTTCTAGAAATAGGATAGCAGGGTTAAAGGATTTACATTTCTTCATTTTGTTACAAAGCACCAAGATACCCGGGAAAGGCTGTCTTAATTTAATGACCCTTTTCTGAAATAGTGAATGCAGGTGCCCAAACCAGGCAACACAATTCATTTTTATCTTCTGCCAAAACAAGTGATTAAAAAGCTAATCTTGGCATCTCTTTAATAGCTAGTTAAATTAAATGATTTCCCACCTATGTTAGACATCTGAATTTCTTCATTTATATATCAACTGTCTGTCAAGACTGATCAAACCGAGAGGCACTATGATGGCCTCTAGTGACCAATTGTTCTCATCTCCAAGAGATTTTACTGACATACTGGATGAGACTCAGTTCTGTAACCTGGAGAGCTTGACACTATCCTTGGCCTCTACCTAGACTCGAGACTTGCAATCCACAAGACTTCCCGTTACATGAACAGCAGCCCTAAAATATTTGTACAACTTGACTTT